GGGATGGTTTTCTCCTTTGGTCTGTGATCAGGGCGGCGTCTGCAGATTGAGGTGGGTTTGTCAGCAGGGAGTGCGGGCATCTTGAGAGTAGCAAGTGCGCACGTAACCCACATGCCAGCCAGACTGTCCGCTTCCCTCACGCCCCTCGTTCCCCCTGCCAGTCGTCTGCTGCGCAGCCCCCCCCAACTCTTCCTGATGCTCACACTGTGTCCTCTGCCCAGTGGGAGCCCCTCCAAAGTGGCTCTGGTACGTTCCTGACGCCCTTCCCTAGGTGCCCTCTGCACTTCCCCTGGGAGACTTCCTTCCTTCCTGGCACAGATGTCCAGGCTTATTGTGCACAAGGGCCAAGGAGCCTGCTTCCTGCTGGTGGGAAAAGCTAATTTGAACCCAATGCTTAGGCACTTCTTGTCGTGAATTTGATACAGTTGAAGGTGAGATTTGTTAAAGTGGAGACAGTCAGAGTGTTGACGCACGGGCATCTTTCCTGCGAGCACGCAGAGGCATGCACTGCACGGTGAGTGTGTGGACCGCGCCGGTGGGGACTGGCACTGGACCACTGGGGCAGTGGATGCAGGGAGGCCTGCGCGCTGGTGGAGGTGTGCCGTCCCCACGCGGCTCCCTGTCACACTCCCCAGAGGGCTGGGGACTGCTCCGGACAGAGCCTGGCGTGGCCGGTGGGATTCCCGCCGCTGCTTCTGGGCTGCGCGTGGAGGTGAGGCGAGCGTGGGCAGGCCCGTTGGCAGGCAGGAAGGCGCTCCCAGTGCCCTTGAGTTTGTGCGCCGGAAACCACGCGCAGCGAAGTCCCTGGCAGTGTTGTCTGCACAGACGCCAGACTGGAAGGAACCGCAGCTGTGCGTCCACGGGCAGCAAGGCCGACCTGCAGCTGTGCGCTCTCCACAGTGCAAGGCCAGCGGGAGTTGCCAGCATGGCTCAGGGCCCTGCGTGCGGGCTGCTCTGCGGGTGCCCCGTGCCACCCTGAGCTTCCAGGGGAGACTGACACCGGGCTCGTCAGGGGCGGCCCCCGGGAACCAGAGGTGCAGGCGCTATTCAGAGCCGGCGCCGCAGGTGAGGGCGCCGCGGGAGGTGCTCCGGGGGAGCGGGCCCCCCAGCACGGCAGCGGCTGGTGTGCTGAGCCTGGGGGCGACTCTGGGGGTGGCCCCTGTGCAGTTGCTGCCTTTGGCTGTAGGGGTGAGGCCTCCTGTGTTCCTCCTCAGCATCTTACTCTGAAAAATTTCAAACACAGAGAAGCTGGAGTGTTCGGTGAACATCTCTATCCCACTATTTCAATTCAGGTCAACTTTACTGTGCTTTTAAATGGCATATGTATGTTAATATCTTTTGTGTGTAGGATCTATTTCATAATAAACCTTTGAGGGACCAAAAGGGAAAACTGAGAAACCCACCTTTGAGCTGCAGGGTCCGAGGCAAAAGCATGAGTGGGTGTCTCAGGGGACGAAACGGGAGCCGGAGCGTCTCTCAGCTGTGAGTTCAAAGGAGCACCCTTTGTTTTCCTTGGGAAGAATCTCAGACTGGGTTTCCTTACTTATAGCTAGTTGTAGAATTTTTACATAGACCAATATATGTTGATTTGTGAATCCCTAGAAATAAAGTCAGAGTTTTCCATGTTAGACGCGTGGGTTCCTGTCTGCTTCCACAGGCCCGCGAAACACTGTGGAGGGCAGAGGTGCTGTGTGCGAAGGGACGCGGGTGTGCGTATGCGGGTGTCTAGGGAAAGCACCGCGCCCTGGTGTCTCTGTTAGAGGAGAGGAACGACGACCCATGAGTTCACCGTCCTAACAGGCTTCTTACTGCGTTACCTAGATACTGGCCGACACAGTGCATTCACACTGTATTTTGTGTACAAATCTTCATATTGTGTTCAATTTTAATCTCACTTCCGTTGTTCCTGATACTCCTATCGCTCTGAGGAGCTGGAATTCATGTACACCGTTCTTCGCGCTGTAGGTTACATCTGTCCTCCCTAGTTGCAGACGCAGCAGCAGCAGCAGCAGCAGTGAGCAGAGAAAGTCTGTTTCTGGTGCTCGCCGTAGGTTGTCACCTAGTGATTCGCTAGGAGTGTCGCCAGAAACACGGAAGTGCTCCCGGTGTGCCTGGGACCTTGCCACGCTGTTCAGCTCCGGAGAATTTAAGACATAGTCTCAGGATGAACTGTGTTATTTGCAACCAATTATGGGATTTTTATTACAAGCTAGTCTGTTGCTAGTTAAGGTCTTAGGAGTGAGCCCAGAGGATGGCTCTCCTTCTGCCTCCCAGGTTTGGGGGGTGTTCATGCGAAGTAACATTGTTTTATTAGTTATTTAGAGCTGAAAAGCTGTCCTCCTTGGAGATTCTTCGCTAACAGTGTCAAGGTCCGAGGAAACAAACACGGCTCGTCCTGTAGCCGCGCCCCAACTGCTGCTTTTCACTTCGACACGTGCCCGTGTGCGGGTGGGGGCTTGCAGGCGGCACGCGGCAGTGACCTTGCTTCAGGGGACATGCTTCCAGGAAGAAAGCGCCTTTCTCCCCATTGACCCGACCGGACTGGGGTCGACTGGTCTCGAGCCCTGTCCGTGGACAGTCAGGAAGGTCGCGTCTCTCGCTCAGCGTGCAGTTGGCCCGCGTACTGAAACGGGGTGAGACCCCCTCCGCGCCCAGGGCGGGGCTCTTCCCGCTGCCCGTGGGAGCCGCGCCCCTGGCGGGGGCGGGCGTGCTCTGCGCCGCCTCTCCTGCTTCAGGTGTTCTTCTCTTGACGCACTGTCTTGGCTCCCCGGAAACTGTTGTCCTCGGTGGGTAAAGTCCGCTTTGACGTTCTCGCTCTTAAGATGGGCAGCAGCCAGAATTCAGCTCCCATCCAAAAACGTCCCTTTTCTCTGTGAGAATTTCTTCTTTTTATTTAAGTTCTGACACCTGATTGGTAGTTTAAGTCGAGTTCGCAGTTTAAAGTCAGCAGTGTGTTTCCTGAAGTGGCCATGAAGCTGGTGTGACATAAAACGGAGAATCACCGTGAGAGCCGGGCGTCGCGGAGCGGCCGCGAGGGGCGGAGGCCCCGGGGTGCGGTTTGGTTAAGGAGACCGTTCCTTCCCTCCGGCTGCGCCCAGCCTGCAGGAGATGCCACCACGGCGGCGGTCACAGCGGTGCCCGCCCCCGGCCCCCGCGCAGGTCTGCGCACCTCGGGGTCCCCCGGGCGCAGCGCGGGCTGCCCCGGCTCCATGCACCTCGCGCTCCCGCACCCCGCTCCGCCGTTTCCGCCTCCCGGTGCCTTCATCGCTCACGTTCTGCGCCCAGCTCGGGAACCGCCGTCCGGTCTCCTGGTGGGACAGCTCTTCATTTCCGTCCTTCACGATGACGCGCTTCCCTTGCGTCCCACGCGCGCTCCTTAAAGCCGAGGGCCGGCCAGCGGCTCGGGGTCTGTCGGTGGTTTCCCACGTGGCTCGTGTCTCCCTGTGTCTGCATTCCGGAGGGTTTGACGTGGGCGTCGAATGCCGTGACCGAGGGTTGCGGAGAGCTGAGGAGCGCGGGCTGCACGGGACGCGAGCCCACGTGACCGTGCCCAGGGTCTCCGTGCGCGCGTTCGGGGGGCAGTGGCGCTGACGGGGAGGGCGTGGCCTCCCCGTCTCTGGCCTGGTCCAGCAGCAAGTCCCCTTCCTCACCGCGGGCCTCCTTCCCTGCCCCAGCGCTCGCAGGCGGGAGGCTGGGCGCCTGGGCCGAGCTGGGCCACGGGGCACGGGTGGGCCCACACGGTCACACTGCGAAACCAGGATGCTGCTGGCCCGGGCCCCTCCTGCGGGCGCTGAGGCCGCCCGCTGCGACGGGGTTTCTGTTTCCTCTGGAGTTTGTGTTTACCTGGCGCTGATCTGGTCCAGTGGGACATGCTTGGCCGTTCCTGGATGCAGAGCCCTTCACCGATTATAAAACCCTTTGTTATAAAACCCTTCTTCCGATTGCGTAATACCTGTTCATTGCAAGGCGTTTGGGCACCTTAGAGCAGTGCACACACACACACAGGTGATAGATTCCTTACAATTCTGTCCTGAGAGGCAGCCCCTGTTCACATGTCATCTGTTTTTCAAACCATTCGTATGCTCTGCCCCTCTCTCCTTCCCCCTCCCTCCCCGTCCCCGTCTTCCTTAAATGTAACTGGGTGCTTACCCTCCCCTCAGGCACACTGAGCCTGTCTCCACGGACGCAGTGGCCCGAAGCCCGGTTGGAGCTGGCCCTGTCATGTCCCCGCCTCAGGCTGCAGGGCTCAACAGCCCCCTCCCGGAACAGTGACTTTGTTCAGGCAGCTTCGACTTTTGCATTTAGAACGCTTCACCAAGTAGAGTGGTCATCACTGAGTCATTAAAGGCCCGAGCGGCTAGCAGTTGCGAGACATCACCCTGGGCGTTTAAAAGTGCCACTGCGGGGGCCGTGCAGCCGCGGCCGGGCCTCAGCCAGCGGCTCCTCATCCCGACAGCCTCAGTCAGCGACTCAGGGGCCCTGTTTCTCACAACGAGTGTGTCAGGCAGGGCACCACCTGTCCAGGCACCATTTTGAAGACTCAAGTTCACCTGACTTGTTAATTGGGGTTTTAGTGTCGTTTTCCTGTAGGAAAACAGCGCCAGCCTTTCTTTTCATCACTCAGCTTTTGTTTGGGGATAAGCGATGGCAGGCAGTGAGACCGGCCGGGGAGGCTGGGGGGCGTCTGCCCCGCTGCGGCCACCCGCGCGCTGTGCACAGGCCAGCTCCCGGCTGGAGGGCTGTGGGTTCGCCCGACTGGGAGTTCCTCTTAAAATCAGAGCGATTGCTCTTTTACAAGTCCTTTCTTGCTTCCAGAGGTAAGTTAGTACTTTCAATTGTTACATAGAATTATACATTGCACACATATACGTCAGTATGTGGGATAGACAATGCTCTTATTAAAAAGGAATGAGGTCAGCGCTTGGGGCAGTTACGACAGTTTTATCTATGGTTGCGATGCACTTACGTTGTCCAAGTCTGATCCTTTCATTGTTTTTCAGCAGCAAGCCCTCGCAGGGACCCTGGCGGCAGGGGCTGGAAGTGCAGGCGACACGGACCCCTTTAAGAGGCAGCCGGCGGGGCCCCCAGCAGGTATGTCTCGGGCCCAGGAGCCAGTTTGCTCCTCCAGGGGCTCGCTGCTCAGCGGCCGCAGGTTCCTAGAGTGTCAGCACTGAAGCACTGGGTTTGTTTCGTTTCTACTTTGTATGTCAGTTCTTCTCCTTGGGAGCGTGTGTGCACATTCCTGGCACTGGTGGCGGTGGCTGCCAGGCGAGGGGCATCCCCCTTGCGGGTGCTCTCGGAGCACCTCGTGGTGTGGCCAGGTGTCAGACCACCTGCTCCTTCACGCCATTTGTCCTCTCAAACTGCATTTTCTCTCAAGTTACAAACTTAATGCACATTTTAGTGTAAGATTTTTAAGCAGGAGGTGTCATGCAAGCCTACCTCTGGTTTGGTGTTTCCTGCCCACGCCCTAGCCACAGAGGTAGCTGCTGGTAACGTGTGCATTTCTGCAGACTTTCTGTCCACACACAAGCCTCGCGACGGGTCATTCTCAAAAGGTTCCACTGTGATCACATGTCCACTGTTGTCTTTTTTTGTGTTTTTTTAAAAGATTTTATTTTTTAAGATTTTATTTATTTTAGAGAGGGAAAAAGAGAAGGAGAGAAACATCAGTGTGTTGGTACCTCTCGAGCACCCCCTACTGATGACCTGGCCCACAGCCCAGGCCTGGGCCCTGACTGGGAATCGCACCGGTGACCCTTTGATTTGCAGGCCAACGCTCAGTCCCCGGGGCCACACTGGCCAGCGCCATTTATTTTATTTTTAGAGGGAAGAGGAGGGAGGGAGAAAGAGAGAGAAACAATAATGTGTGGCTGTCTCTCCCACGCCCCACACTGGGGACCTGGCCTGTGACCCAGGCCTGTGCCCTGACCAGGAGTTGAACCTGCGACACTTTGGTCTGTAGGCCAGTGCTCAGTCCACTGAGACACACCAGCCAGGGCTATGCTGTTGTCTTGAACACTGACTTACTAGGCCATCTTTCCCATCCCCGGGCTCTGCACTTTTTGATGACTGCATAGTATTCCGTCGCACAGGTGGTTCCTTCTTTATTCTTCAGACCCGGGTTAGTGTTCATTTGTTAGCACCACTTTTTCTCTGTTAAAATCAACACAAGGTTGAACACTAGTCTTACATTTTTTTCCAACATGTTTGTCAGTGTATGTTAAGGGAAAACTCCTGGAAATTAAGTTATTAGATCAGCAGTTATACAGTTAATTGTTGGCAACGTTCCACTGCCCTCCTGAGGGTCAGCCCAGTGTCCACTCCCATCAGCAACCTCTGCTTCTCGCACGTTTTGGCCACTTTATTATGACCAGTCCTTTAATCTTTGTGGATCTGATGGGTGACTATGGAACCTCTTCTTTTGATATGGACTTAATTTAGATGAAGTTGTGCAGAACCTTTTCCTGGTTATTAACCCTTGGTGGGTCTGCCCCTCTGCAAGCCGGTTTTCCTGTGCCTGTTTTGTCTGCCTGGTTTCCATACTTTGCATGTTACTTGTAAGAGCTTTCGAATGTTGAGTAAACAGCCTTGTGCTTATCATGTGTGTCGCAAATACTGTCTCTTAGGTTGTCGCTTGTCCTTTGTCTTTTTTTTTTTTTTTTTGATGCTTTTTCTTATATTTGCAAATTTTTAATGAAAAGAAATTACATTTATCAATCTTACCTTTTATGGCTTCTGGATTTTGGTTCATGCGTAGAAAGGCCTCCCTGTTCAAATACTATAAAGACACACGTTTTTTTTCTACTACTTTTGTGGTTTTATTTTTACATCAAACTGCACCTTTTCTGAAAATTATTCTAGAGCAGTCTAAGCGACCTCGACTTGAAGCGGGTCACCAAGGGGTGGTTTTCCAGCACCCAGGGGTGAATGCGGGAGTCCCTCTCCAGCAGTTAATGCCGACAGCCCAAGGTAAGACCCAGCGCCGGGGCCAGCCCTGCAGCGCAGGAGGCGAGGGTGCGGAGCGGCCGGGGCCTGCGGCAGGCAGACGCGCGTGCGGCGAGCTGGCGTGGTTGAAGCGGCTCCTGCGAGCGGGGTGTTGTTGAGCCTCGGCCAGCGCAGTACGAAGGCCCCCGACTAGGTCTTGTCCCTTCGATGAGCCGCACGCGCGGCTTCTCTCCGGCCCCCCCCACCCCCTGTGTCTCCGTAGCCGCTGCCGTGGTGGGGCCCCGTGGCTCTCCGACGCTGTCCTGCTTGGTGCTGACTCGCGAAGGCCCCGCTCCTCTGTCCTCTGTGTGCTCATTTATAGCCTTAGAGCTACTATAGCTCGGATCTCCCGTCCGTTAAACTCCCCGTCTGCATGTGTGAAGGTTTTCAGGGACGGGGTCCCCTCGGCCTGGGGGGTGATGTCTGCCTCGTGGTGGACGCGTCCGAGCCCCCGAGTCAGTGCCGGCGGGGCATTTCCTGTCTTGCAGGAGGGATGCCTCCCGCCCCTCAGGCTGCCCAGCTGGCCGGACAGAGGCAGAGCCAGCAGCAGTACGACCCGTCCACGGGGCCTCCAGTGCAGAACGCCGCCAGCCTGCACACGCCGCCGCCGCCGCTGCCTGGCAGGCTGCCCCCGGCCGGCCTCCCCGCTGCGCCCCTGCCGCCCACGCTGCAGTTCCCGCCACAGCCGCCCATGGGAGAGCCACCGACGCAGCTGCATGTGCCCGCGAAGGCCCAGCAGCCCAGCGCCCCCATCCCCTCGTCCCCCGCCAGCCAGCTGCCTGTGCTTCCGCAGCCGGCACAGCCAGCTCTGCTCAGCCCAGTGCCCGGGAAGGTGCAGATGCAGGCCCCTCTGCCACCATCCCAGCCACAGGTACTCTGGGCCCCTGGCTCTGTCTGGGGGTGGGGGGCAAGGCAGGCGTGATGGGGTGGGGTGCACGTGCTGCTCCCTGCCCTTTCCGCGTGTCGGGTGAGTCAGCCAACAGTGAGGGTGTGACTTCTCTGTGCAGTAAGTGAGATCCATGATTGCAGTTGTCATTACCGACCGATCGGTAAACAGCAGGGTTCTGCGTGCCGCACTCAGAGCAGGAAGCCGTGCAGAGGGCCTGCGGTCACTGCCCCGCGTGACGTGCCGAGTGAGACGGAGGCTGGCGGAGCAGCCTGTGTGCGTGGGGCGGGGGCGAGGCTGGGGGCGGCGGGGCTGCTGCAGGCTGCCTGCCGGGCTCCCGCGGGGGCACCCCCCCGCCGCCATGCTCTGGTACCTCTCGATCAAGAGTAGCTGGCACAGTGAAATTGCTGGGAAAAAAGTTATTAAAAAACAGGAGAAAGGCTGGAAAAGGCCAAAAAAAAAAAAAAAAGGGGGAAAGTCTGAGAGGAGACAGCGGGCGCGAGCACAGGTTTGCAGCGGGTCCGCGTGGCTCTGCACAGGGCAGGGCCAGTGCACTGTGGGTGTGGCGGGGCCACGTCCTGGTGGGTTGTGCAACCATGTGTTCACTTGCGTGGCTACGGGGAGGGACCGACGCTGTTTTCACCTGTTGCCTGTTTTCTCCTTGCCAGACGGTGACGTCCGTGAGACCACCCACAGACCCCACGCAGCCCTGTACACGGCCCCCGCCCGCCGCCTCCACGTCGTCCATCGCTCCTGGCAGCGGCTCGGGCCCAGGGCCCTCACCCACACGGGCCTCCCCGGTGAATAGACCCTCCTCAGCAGCCAGCAAGTCGCTGTCTCCAGTCACCTCCCGGTCCCCAGGGGCAGCTGTGTCGGCCCCCTCAAAACCTCAGAGCCCAGCTCAGAATGCGGCTGCACCCCAGGACGGTTCTCAGGACAAGCTGGCAGAGCAGATGGCGCTGGTGAGGACTGGCGCCTCCCAGCCCGGGACTCACAGCCGCTCTCGTCTCGGGACACAGTGGCGGCCACCCGCCCAGCCGCGAGCACGTCGGCGTGCTTCATGGTCCGGGAGGCACGGCCGGGGCCAGTCGCGTGGCCTCCCCTTGGGGAGGGAGACTCCTGCGGAGGCTGCTCTGGGCTGAGGCCAGCGGCCTGGGCGGAGACCCGGAGGCGAAACGTGTCATGAGGCGGGGGGACAGCATGCAGGGCCCTTCTTTTGCTGGGGGTCGCAGCCCAGCCAAAGGCTCTGGCTGTCTGTCGGGGGACTGGGCAGTTACTCTGTTCAGCGTCATTGGAGGAATTAAGAGAAACGTAGCGGGACAGGCGGGCTCTGAGAAACCCAGTGCTCGCTGTCCCCGGTTTAACCCAGGGCTGTGGGCGGCCGCCCGGCGAGGGCGAAGCAGGCTCCGGGCCTGTGTTGCTTCCCTTGTGAGTGTCAGCGCGGGCCTTGGTTGTTGTTCCGGGGTGGCAGGTCTGTCCCTTCAGCTCCTAAGGCTCTGGGCAGTCACCTGTCGGCTCCTTCTGACCTTGTGTCCAAGTCTTCACCTTTGTTCCTGAGCCTGCTACACAGTAGGTCTCCCAAACGTAGGGTCTGAGTTAGGGGAATGCAGTGAGTGAGTGTGTGCCGCCCTGCCCCCTCCCCGCAGGAAAACCAGATCCATCAGCGGATAGCCGAGCTGAGGAAGGAAGGCCTGTGGTCCCTGAGGCGGCTGCCGAAGCTGCAGGAGGCCCCACGGCCTCGCGCCCACTGGGACTACCTGCTGGAGGAGATGCAGTGGATGGCCACCGATTTCGCCCAGGAGCGGCGGTGGAAGGTGGCTGCCGCCAAGAAGGTGGGTGCGGCGGGACTTGGGGCTGTCCGCTCAGTCGGGGGAGTTCAGAGCTGTGGGCTGTGTGTCTCCCCGCCCCGCCTCTGACAGCCTTCAGGGCTCCTGGGGTGCCTCTTGCTGAGATGGGGTCGTGCTGGGCTGCGGGCGCGTTTAAGAAACTCCTGCGCCTTTTCTGGAGCGGGGAGTCAAACCGACTGACACGCAGTGCTCCCCAACCTGCATCTGCCAGCTCGTCCGGACAGTGGCGCGTCACCACGAGGAAAAGAAGCTCCGTGAAGAGAGAGGGCGGCGGGAGGAGCAGAACCGATTGAGACGGATCGCCGCCTCAACCGCCAGAGAAATAGAGTACTTCTGGTCGAATATCGAACAGGTCGGGTCGGCCAGGCGTGTTACCGGGGTCCCGAGACCTCGGGTGTCGGGCTGGCGATGAGGCAGAACCCGCAGTGCCGCTGCGGGGGGTGTGCGAGGACGGGACCCCCGCCACGGTCCCTGCGGGGCGGCTGCGTAGGAGGGGTTCCTGCTCTGTTTCTGGCTGCGCGTTGCTGCCTCCCGGGAGGCCCTGCCCCAGCTCCTGGGGGTGGGGCCGGGTCACTAAGGGAGCGTCTTTCCCAAGCGGTGGCTTCCACTCCTGTTTACTTTCCCCCAAATTCCGACCTCAGCACCTGAAGGGCTTGGCAGACACAGTCAGAGGCTGAATCGGGGAGGCCCCTGCCCTGTGTGTGTCGCCAGGGCAGCACGTTCGAGAGCTGCACTAGCGTAGCCCTCAGCCACGTGCCTCTGTGCTTGTCTCCTGTTCTTAGGTTGTGGAAATAAAACTCCAAGTCGAGTTGGAGGAGAAGAGGAAGAAGGCCCTCCATTCACAGAAGGTCTCCAGGAAAGGTAGGATCCTTCTGAAAAGCCTCCCCTCTCAGGCGGAGCTCTGTCCCAGCGCCTGGTGGCAACGGGACTGCCCGGGGGACCCGTGGGGCTCGGGGGTCCCTGGCGCCGTTGGCGCGGCGGCCGTAGCCGCGCGCTCCCCTCTTCTGAGGTTCGCTGGTCGAGTCGGCTTTGGGTGCTCTCAGAGCTGAGGCCTGAGCCTGCTCCCTGGGGCCGGCCCCTGGGCAGGGAGGCAGACCGCTGAGGTGTGCGCCCCGAGGCGCCCCCGGGGGGGCCGGCGCGCCGCTCCACGCAGCAGTGGCTTTGTCACTGGTGTGGGCCGGCCCCCAGCGGGCCGGCCTCGGGAGGCAGGGCGGAGCGGGGCACAGTGGCTCACACTCTCCTGGTGGGGGGACGGCCACTGCCGGAGCCATAGGGATGTGAGGCCAGACGGACGGATGGCCAGAGAGGACCTTTGCCGCTGCCCCCGGTTCCTCTCCAGACTGGTGACAAATCAGCGCCGCGGCCGACAGTTGCCTGGGCACTTGGTGGGGCGGCAGCGCAGTGGGCCCCACGTGGCCACCTGGGTCACCAGGAGGGAGGCGGGACTCGCTGTCTCCTCAGAGGAGACGACAGAGACAGCCCTGGCGCGTGCGTGGAGCGCCCCCCACAGCTGCGGTGCGACGGGTGGTGCTCCCTGTCTCTCCAGGAAAGGAGCCACGGCCCAGGGGACCAGACGTGTTGCCCGAAAGTGCTCTGGTAAGTGCCGGCGGCTGCGGGGGGCGCTGTGAGTGCGTCCGCAGGCGCAGCCCCGTGTCTGCTGGGGGACATGTGGAGGCGACAGGTGTCACTCCCTTTTATGGTAGCCCCCCCGCCCCCCGCAGGGGAAAGCTGGCTCTGCGGCCGTGGGCTCACCGCCTGACCTTTCCTGGCACCAGAGGCCTGAGGGCACACTCGTGGCACAGGCACCGAGTGTCCTCTGAGGTGCACACCGGGCAAACCCTTCTGCTGGGGTTTCCAGTGGCGCCCGAAGGCCCGTGTTTGCAGCGTGGGCTCCGTTTCAGGATCCAGGAGCACCTGGGAGAAAGCGGAAAGCGAGCGTGTCCCTCACTGACGACGAAGGTCTGTCCCCGTGCCCTTGCCGTCCCTCCGCGGGGCCCTGAACTCAGGAAGCAGGCGCCCGCTTGTGACGCCCATGACCCGGGGAGCTGGGGCCGCCTCGGGGTGGCGGGCTTGGTGGGGAGGACAGGAGGCGCTGGCCCGCGGGGCAGGGGAGCCGGGGCCTGAGGGCGCGTCCGAGCCGGAGGGGAGGGGCCGGCGGGGGGCGGGGGGCGCCTACGTGGCAAGGCCTCCGGCGGCGAGGGCCGTGCTCCGGGGACCGACGGCCGTGGGTGGTGGGGGGCTGCAGGGAGTGCTCGTGGAGACAGCAGTGGGGCCCTGTGGTCGTGGGGGGGCACACCCACAGGGCCCCGACAGCCCGTGTGCGCACCCCTTGCGGCAGGCTCGGCAGGCGGACGGCTCCCCCACTCCGTGCTCTGGTCCGAGGGGGTTGTCGTCTCCGAGCTTCACCTGGGAAATGGAACGGCTTCGCAGCGTTGAGGCCTTGTAGCGTTTGAGCAGGGCTTGCTGCCCGCCTCGCTGACCCGGGATGGTCCCCATTGCAGTGGAGGACGAGGAGGAGACCATTGAAGAGGAGGAGGCCAACGAAGGGGCTGTGGACCACCAGACAGAACTCTCTACTCTGGCCAAGGAAGGTGGGCCTCGGGGTCCTGCCCGAACGCTCTGCGGCACGGGGGTCAGCACACGGCACGCGTGTGCGTGACGCCGGAGAACACCCAGGGCCGCGGGCTCCCCGGGCCCGGCCGCACCGCTGCGCGTGGAGAGCGCGCCCTTGCCTGTCTCGCCTCTGCCCTCACGGCGCCACGACTGCGCCGGACCTCGCGTTCGCCGCCTCTGCGGCTCTGTCCCGAGCCCCCGCGCGCGTCCCTGAGCCCCCGACTTAGCCCGTGTCAGAGCCTCACACGCTGTCCGCCGCGGGTTCTCCAGCTCAGCTCTGTACTCGGCGTGTCCCCGGGGTCGCGCGCACGTCATCGTGCGCTGTGTGGACGCACGGCCTCTCGCTGCTGGGCGGCTCCCGGTGCACGCCGGCTGGAGGCGTTCTGCCGGGCCGCGGGCGGGCGCCTGGGGGCCCGTGCCGGCGGCGGAGGAGCCCTGCGGGGGGGCTGTGCGCGCGCCTGTCCGCGGGACGAGGCGGTGCCGGGCCTTCGTGCCGGATTCGGGGCGGAGCGGGCGCAGCAAGCCCCACGTGTCGGGAGCCCTGGCTGACGGGCCGCAGCCCTGCTGCCTGCCTCGGGGGCGAGAGACGGCGTCTCTTTGTGGGTTTCCTCCTGCCTTTGCCCGTTCTGGTTTGGGGTTTTCTTTCTGCTGTTGACTTGTAGGCGTTCCTTGTACGTTCTGGACACGAATTTGTTGTCACTTACGTGTGTGGCAGTGACCGTTCCCCATTTTCATTCCCTTCGTGATGCCTTTTGATGAAGAGCTGTTCCTAATATTAGTATTGTTGAATTCAGTGGTCTTGTTTGTTTAACAAATCTCTTTTTACTTTTGCGTCATAAGGATGTCTTCCCATGTTGGCTAAAACTTTTTGTTTCCACTCTCACATGCGTGTCTCTAACCTATGAAAAATCGCTTTTGTTGGGAGTGTGAAATAAGTGTGATTTTTCCTCCCAAATAGATGTCCTGCTGTCCCAGGACAGGCGACACGCCCTTCTGCCCTCCTGACATGCTGTGCCAGCCACTCAGCGGGTGCCGAGGTGCTGGGCTCTGCGTTCACAGGAAACCCCGCTGGGCAGATGACTTCTTGGTAGCAGGAGGAGTGTCTGGTGGGGGTTGCATCGTTGGGAAGTTGAGCTTTCCCAGCCTGTGGTCCACGTGCGCGTGTCCACTAGGTTTATTTTTACGTGCATCGTACAAGGAAGGGCAAAAGTAGGGTTATGGTTGTTTGAATGGAAAATACAATAATTAATAAGTAATAGAAGAATAAACTGTGTTTTACATACTCACAACTGTAAACCTACTATTGCTCCACTCTGTAGTTTTAAAGTTGCAGTAAATGGTATGTTCTGGAAAGGTACATTTTTATTGGTTGCTGGCATGTACGATAGAAATGCAGTTGATTTGTGTTTATTGGTCTTCCGTCCAGCACCTTCGCCAAACTGTTGTGTTCGCTCTGTGTGAGGAGCTTCGTCTCTGGGGAACGAGGGCTTCCCCTTTGTAAGCCTGGGCGTGTCATTGCTGCCAGCGGTGAAGCGTGGACCACAGGAGCTGGGGTGCTGCAGCGTGTCCTTGGACTAGGCAGGCGCTGGCAGCGGGAAGGCCCGCCTGAGGGTGCCCGTCCCGGGCCCTGAGTGCACCCGGTGTGGCACGTCGTCCCCCAGCCGCTGAGTTGCGCTGTGTGTGTCCTCGTAGAGCTTCCCGAGCACCGTGAGTGTGCTGTGGTAGCTGCTCCAGCACAGCGCCCCTGCCCCCGCCCCGCTCCCCCTGGCAGGGACCAGGGGCAGCCTGGCCTCGGCTTCTGCCCGGTCTCCCGAGCCTCTGCCCGCGTGGCTCTCCCCCCGCTGCCGGGCCTGGGGGCGTGCGGGCCCTTGCTCGCGTGGGACGTCCCACAGGCTGCGGGAGCACCCTCGTGTGGTGTCCCAGGGGCGTGGAGGCTGGTCGCCCCCAGAGCACGCCACGCCCTCTCTCTCCACCTCGGGCGGGCCTGTGGGGGCGGGGCCTCGGGGGCCACGCCCAGGGTGGGTGGTGCCCTTGCAGCTGCTGCCCCTGCCGCCTGGGAACCTCGGAGCGCTTGCTTCATCGGGCAGGTGTTGTGCATTTTTAAAAGGCTCGATTCGAGCCTTTAGTTTTCTGTCTAAGTGGAGCGTTTTCTCCCTTTACATCTCCTCACCAGGTCAGGAGGGTGGGAGCAGGGTTCAGCTTATCGGGAGACCTTGACTGAGGCACCTTATTGCGTCATTTCCACACGCTTCCCGGGGGTGCTCCTCAGCCGCCTGTGAGGTCTGTGCATGTTCGAACGTTCAGACACCGTCAGGTGGAAGGCCCCTTGTGGTGGCGCCCGAGTGTAACCCCGTTGTGTCCGCAGCCTCTTAGCCCAGGCCGGTGGCTGCTTTAAATCGTGAGCAGGTGAAGCCACGGGCTTGGGATTAGCGTCGGGTGCCCGGCGCCTTCACTGCGGCCCTTTTGGGGCACAACCCTGCGGCACGTGGTGTTTCGACCACAGATGTTGCTGACACGTGGCAGGCAGGCCTAAGGGGGACTGCGCACAGCATGTGCCCGCGAGTCTGGGTCCCGCTTCCGGTTACCCCTGGACCGGCTCGCGGGGCTGGGAAGGAGGTCGGGGATGCTGGGAAGAGCCGTTCCGCGGCCTCGGCGGTCCCCGGACGGACGGTGACGCCACCGCCCGCTCCCCTGTGTGCGGGGCCGCTGCTGCGGGGGAACTGGGCTGTGCCTGGGACGAGGACAGCGCGTGCGCCCTCTGCTGGCGCCCCTGCGGGGAGTAACCCCCTTCCTCCCTGCGGCCCTTTCCAGCGGAGCTGCCCCTCATTGACTTGATGAAGTTGTACGAAGGTGCCTTCCTGCCGAATTTCCAGTGGCCCCAACCTCAGCCTGACATTGAGGAGACGAGTGAGGAGGAAGGTCTGTTGTGTCTTTAGAGGGTTCAGTTTTGTTTTATTGCTTATTGATTGGGTGATTGATTGATTGATTGATTGTAGAGAGAAGGGGGAAGAGAAACATCAGTTTGTTGCCCTGCTTATCTGTGCGTTCTGCGGCAGACTCTGCCTGTGCCCTGCAACCCCAACACATCGGACGGCGTTCTAACCGTCTGGGCCACCTGGCCAGGGCCAGAGGGTCGAGCTTCAGAAACGGGACACTTACGGAGGAAGGGGCAGGAATAGGGTTTCAACACCACCTTTGCTTGCTTTTAGTCCAAAGAAAGAAAAACGGGGGGGATGTATTTAACACGTAATTTTATGTTGAATAGCATTTTATTAAACCCTGTGCCTTCTACTCCTGTTTATGCACTCGGCACAGGCATCAGAGCACGTGAGCATGTTGTGAACAATGGTTTCTCTGCAGACTTAGGGAAGTGATTGTTTCATGGACCTGGATTTTTACCACGTTTCCTCAGGGTGTGTTGTGTGTTGAACACACCGGTGTTAGGAAGTTTGACTCGTACTAGACACTCTAGACACACGCAGACGGCGCCCAGACTCTGCTCTGCCTGGGGCCTTCTGCCTGTCCCGCCTGTGAGACGTGGTGCCTGTGTGTGGAGAGGTGGGGGGCTGGTGGCCCCCTTGCCTGCTTGGGCTTGGAGATACTTGTAGCCTTTCCTTTCTTGGTGGTGGAGGGGCGGTCACGAAACCCTTAGGTGCCCATAAATCAGTTGGTAACACCAGGTCCTGGTCGCTTCAGAGACGTTTTCCAGGTCCACCGAGGACTTTCTAAAGTGGTCCTAGGGTGGGTAGTTTCGTAATAGTCTGTACCCATTTATCCGGAGAGCCTTGTTAGGCATATGAAGGGGATCAAATTTTTTTTAAAAATTGGTGCTTAATTTTGTATTTGATGTATTTGGATTTTGTTGATTATGCCCCCCCTTTTTAAAAAATGTTCAGTATGCTCAGTACTATGAAAGCAGCTGTAAATCCCATTTTTCCACTGTTCACAGACGTGGAAGACAGCCCAGCTGACCAGGAGGGCCGGAAGGATGTGGTCCTCATAGACTCGCTGTTCATCATGGACCAATTCAAAGCTGCAGAGAGAACAAGTGTTGGGAAGCCTCACACAAAGGACGTCGCTGAAGTGACCGCCGTGGCCGAAGCCATCCTGCCCAAGGGCGGTGCTCGGATCAGCGCCACGGTGAGGCGCTTTGCGGGAGGGGCAGAGAGCCTTCTTGCTTCCACGCAGCTGCACAAGTGGTCGGAAGAGCAGACTCTGACTTCTGTTATTCCTGTTACCTGGAGAGCTTTCCTGTGGCTTTCCAGCAGGCTGATCCTGTGACTGACTGGGCCTCGCTTTGCAGGAAAGGCTCAGAGGTCGTTCTGAGACACGCTCACTGGCCTGTCTGTCACTGCAGGTGAAGCCGGGTGTCCCGTCCCTGCTGTACGGCGCACTCAGGGACTACCAGAAGATCGGCCTGGACTGGCTGGCCAAGCTCTACCGGAAGAACCTCAATGGCATACTGGCGGACGAGGCTGGGCTGGGTAAAACAGTGCAGATCATCGCCTTTTTTGCCCACCTAGCCTGTAATGAAGGTGAGCACTTGCTGGAACAGCACGCGTGTTGCTGAGACGGAAGCGCAGGCCGGGTGTCCGGCCGAGAGGGCGGGGCCTGGCCTGTCTTCTCTGCTCCTCTGCTCTGGGCTGTGCCTCAGGGCCCGAGGGTGCAGGTCGCACAGATGAGCGAGGAGGTGGGAACCCCACCTGGCTGTGACGGAGGCTTCGTGACTGTCCGAGTCCTGCCGCTCATCAGTGTGCGGACGGCGGAGAGGGTGGGCGTGAGCCAGCGCCCCCGGGCGCCACCGAGGGCTGGTGGGAAAGCGTCGCCCAGCGTGACCGGGACCACGCTGCCCTGGCCACTGCTGGTCTGGGCCGCCCCTCTGGCCTCCGCATCCGCAGCTACTCTCCAGACACCGCGCCCCGGGGCCGGGCGTTCCAGGCTGCTGGTTCTGCTCGCGGCGGCCCTCTCAGCCGGGCGGCGGCCGTCCAGGTGTGCGCTGCAGACGCTGCCCCCGGGCCTGTCGTCGCCGCCTCCCCGCTCGGGCTGCGCTCCCCTCGAGCGCAGAAGGCGGGGCTTGGTCTGCGCGGGTCATTCTCAGGGGTCGGCCAACAGCCCGTCTGTTTTCCCCACAGGCCGGCTCTAGTAGCGCGTAGGCGTCTTTAACTTGGTTCCGAATGATTTCGCTAGATCATGTGGTGACAGCTGTCCCATCAGCGTGCATTTAAGAAAAAAACTCACCAAAAGTGGTAAATGTTTTTGTAGCCATTTTAGTATTGAAGATGGAAGAAAATAAGCAACATTTTCAGCTTATTAGCTTTATTATTTCAAGAAAGGTAAAAATGCAACTGAAGCACGAAAAAAAAGATTTGTGCAGTGTGTGGAGAAGGTGCCGTGACTGACTGGATGTGTCAGAAGTGGTTTGTGAAGCTTCGTGCTGGAGGTTTCTCGCTGGGCGATGTTCCCTGGTCGGGTGGAGCTGCTGAAGTTGGCAGTGACCCAGCTGAGACATTACTTGAGAACAATGAGCCACCACACGGGAACAGCCAATATACTCAAAATATCCAAATTAGCCAAGCTATTGGTGAGGATGAAAAATGTGCCTCTTACTTTACAGAAAAAACTAAATGGACTTTTTGGCCAACCCAATAACCTAAAAACGCTGTTTTTTCCCCAAAGAATGAATCGGAACCATAGTTCTTGGGATGGTCTGGGTGTGTCGGCCAGAGGCCGGGCGCCCTCGGAGTCGGTGTGGCGCCGCAGGGTGCGCCTGTGGGGACGGGCGTGCCGTGGCTGGAGGGCGCGGGCCACTTTCTCCTGAGCACTGTTCCTTGTGGACGGGATTCCTCCCCGTGCTCACAGAGCTTGCCATGTTTCCGAATAAATATTTATATTTTTCGTCAATTACTCATCCAAGTCCCTTTGCTGACAGCCCCCTGAGAGCCAGACTCGCCTCCTGCCGCAGCTGACGAGGGAGCGGCGCGGGCCCCCCGAGTGCAGGGCCCCGGCGGGCAGGGTGCCTGTGACCCTGCTGGGCAGCCCCTCTGGCCCCCCGCGGGCTGTCCACAGACGGCACCACGCCGGTGCCTGTGCTTGACAGACGGCGTAGCTGAAGAGCAGGCGCTGTATCTTCTTTCATCCGCAGGCAACTGGGGCCCTCACCTTGTCGTCGTGCGGAGCTGCAACGTCCTCAAGTGGGAGCTGGAGCTGAAGCGCTGGTGTCCGGGGCTCAAAACCCTCCTGTACGTGGGCAGCCACAGAGAACTCAAGGCAAAGAGACAGGTATCTCAGTCCAACCACAAAGCAAAGCCAGGCAGGAAGCCAGCTTAATTTCTATGGGAGACACTTCAAAATATCAAGGTGTGCTTATTTGCGTAATTACTGTGAGACGCCAGGACTTCAGGCTGTTCTGGACCCGCAGCCCCTTGAAGGCGCCCACGACACCTTCCAGGAGAGCCCCAGGTGCGCCCGGCCTCTTCCAGAACCTGAGGGTGTGTCCCCCAGAGCTACAGCGGGCTCCGGGGCGCTGCGGCCCAGGGACCCGTTGGCGCACAGGCATGAACGAGAAACCGGGTGCTTCCTGAGTCCCGGCCTGCCCCGCTGCGTGTGTGAGGGACACGTGTGACGTGCAGTGAACCCCCAGCAGGCCTTTGGACTCTCTCAGTCGTTTCTGCCAGGAGACTCTAAGTGAAAGTGCGTTGCGGTTTCTCACAGAAGATGCACTCTGGCTCATCCTCAGGCGGTTGTGTCGAGGAGCCTTTCCCGAAGAGGCGATGCCTTGAGACGCACTGAGTCGTCCCGTCACCTGTTCTTCCCGAAAGGCTTGCGATGCAGTCAGCCCTCTGTGCGCGCCCCGCGCCCGGGCGGGCCCCGCGCACGCCCCGCAGGACGCGCTCTGATAGTCCGCTTCCCAGCGACAGTTGCTTGTGCCTCGAGCTGCCGCTGGACGAGCCCGCGCGAGGGCTGTGGGCTCCTGGGAGGGTCATAAGATCCCCTCAGCCCTTTCCTGGGCGGGACTAGCAGGGGCTCAGGAAGAGCGAGGGGGTGACTGGACGGGAGCGGGTGACCTCGGAAAGTGTGCCCCGGGCCACTGGGCACGAGGGAGGGCCAGGGAGACAGCCAGGCTTTGTTTCCTGTTCCACAGGGATGGACCGAGCCCAACAGCTTCCACATCTGCATCACGTCCTACAAGCAGTTCTTCCGGGGCTACGCGGCCTTCACGCGGGTGCGGTGGAGGTGCCTGGTCATCGACGAGATGCAGCGCGTGAAGGGCCTGAGCGAGCGGCACTGGGAAGCCGTGTTCACCCTGCAGAGGTCTGACTGCTGGCCCCGCGGCGGGTTCATTTGCAGGCACACACCACCTCACCTGCGTCCTCCGTCGCAGTGTGTCCGGCCGAGGACACCCAGGGTGTTCGTCTAGATCGGCCCATGTCTTTACGGCCCCTGGACATAGTCACCCGTCACCCGTCCGACGGCCGTGCCCCCAACCCACCTCAGCCCCAACCCCCCTCCGCCCCAGCTTCCCGGGCCCGGGCTCTGAGACGTGGCCTCTGGTTCTGTGCGCAGCCAGCAGCGTCTGCTCCTGATCGACGCGCCGCTGCACAACACCTTCCCGGAGCTGTGGACCGTGGTGCACTTCCTCATCCCCGGCCTCTCCAGGCCCTACCTGCACCTGCCCCTGAAGGCCCCGAACGAGGAGAACCAGGACTACTACCACAAAGTGGTCATACGCTTACACAGGGTGCGTGGGGCTGCGGGGCCCGGGCCCCCGTGCGATGCCCCCGGGGACGCGTGGTGCTGTCACGCCCAGAGAGAAGGCAGCGGGCCGCGCTCTTCCTCCAGGTGACGCAGCCGTTCATTCTGCGGAGGACCAAGAGGGACGTGGAGAAGCAGCTGACGAAGAAGTACGAGCACGTCCTGAAGTGCCGCCTGTCCAGCCGGCAGAAGGCCCTGTACGAGGACGTCGTCCTGCAGCCTGGGTGGGCCCCCCTGCGCGGCCCCTCCCCGGACTCCCTGCTGCTGCCTGCGGGCTCCGCCCGCCCGGCAGACCCAGGCGTGGCACGCGCTCCGTGCCCGCGCCGTCTGGCAGTGTTTTGGTTCCGACTCCCACGGGGCCCGTTCTGGCGGGCGCGGGACAGCTGCACGCGCCTGTCCCCGCGGCGGGCCTGCTCCGGGCTCCCCCGTGGACGCCCGGCACGGCACCAGGCCCTGCCTCTGCCGGTCCGAGCGCCGGTCTGAGCGCCACGGTCCTTCTCACGGTTTCACAGGCGGCGCGTTTGTTCTGGCTGGATTCGGGGGGCCTCAGCACCCCGTCCTCCCCTTCCCTGTGATACCAAGACCTTTCACTTTCCCGCCTGAAGGAAGCGCTTCGGGCTTCTCCTTGGCCTGGCCACGTGGCTGCTCTTGCAGCTCGCTCTTCGGGGCTGTACGAAGCAACAGGAGGGCCGCTGGGACGCAGGCGCCATGGTGCCAGGCCAGCCCCTGGATGGTCCCTCCCCAGCGCCCAGCGGGCGGGAGACGCGAGGCAGAGGGACACCGACGCCCGCCGCCCCGCCCCCGGCAACCTCCCCGTGCCAACCAGGGCAGAGCTCCCCGTGCCAACCAGGGGGCGCCCGGCAGACCGCCTGTAGACCGGTTGTTTCTGGCACTTGCCGTCTGCGGCTGCTTTGCACTGTAAGTCGCTGAAAGTGCGGCTGTATGAAGGCCCGGGCGAGGGCGTGCCACGCGGGCCACGGGCAGCAGTCAGTGCCACCGGGACGGGGCGTGCCGCCTGCTCCCTGCGCAGGCCGGAGTCCAGGCCCCTGCTCCGCTCCCTGACCTTTTCCCACGACCTGTGGGCTCTTTCGGTCACACTCTCCGTTTTCCTGAGTTTGAATGAAGAAACCAAGAGCAGGCACGGAGCGCGGGTGTCGAAGCTGCTGGGTGGACACCTCTGTACTCAGGGACCCCAGCCACCCTGTCTCTGCGGGTGGCTGGGAAGGGCCAGGGCGGCGCCCAGCGGTCCCAGCACACGCTTGGTCCTGGCGGCCGCCTGGAGCAGGCTCCTGCGCTCCTGCAGCCGGGCCCCGGCTGCTCACCTGGCTCACGGGTTTGTCCTTCTGCAAGGACAGGGGTGACCTCGTGTGTTGCCCTGAGGTGGCAGATGCAAGCCCCCATGGGGCACAGACCGTGGGCCCGGGGCCCCAGAGGAAGGTGGAGTAGAAGGCGGCCCATGGGCTGTGGGGCTCCCCGCGTGCCTGCGGGAGTGGCCCCTGAGCTGGGGACCCACGGATGACGGCAGGTCCGCGGCGGTTCTGTGGCTTTTGCTGTGATGCAGAGGCAGGAAGAGACCTGCTGTTTATGCCTGGGCCCCACGTCCTCCCCGAGCCTGTCGGGAGAGCAGACTTCGGGGGGCGCTGCCAGGCACGGTCCCTGCACGAGGACGCAGTGGTCCCAGGGCCTGATCCTGTTCCTGACCCGCATCCTCCCTCCCTCTGCGCGGTGAGCGTGTCCCACGCATCCCTGCTTCCTCCACGGGGGCCCGCTTCCCGGCGACCTCGTCTCCCCTCTGCAGAGAGCCCTGCCAGCCGGCCAGGTTGGCGCCCCTTCCCCTGGTCTCTGTCACCAGCCCCTCCCCAGCCGAGTCCCCCCTCTCGGGAGACACACATCCAGTGTGGTTTGTGCTTTCGGTCGTCTTCCTGCAGCATGTCCCCTGCGCCCGGCCTTGGGCACAGGGGTGCCCTGCGCCCGCGGTGGCGCTCTGCCCGGCGGCACCGTCGGCATGCTCGCTGCCCTCCCCTCTTGCCCCCCCGCTGCCCTGGGCTGGGCCAGGCGCGTCAGGGCTGCGCGGCCTGTGCTCAGGCGTCAGACGCCAAGCACCCCCCTCGCTCCCCGCGCTGCCCCCTGAGCGCTGCATGCGCTGGGGGCGCAGAGCCCCGCTCACCACGGGCTGCTGCTCCCTGGGCTCCTGCCTGTCCACCCGGCCCCCACCCCCGGTTAGGAACCTGCCTTTCCTCCCCCACCCCCGCCCCCTGCCCTCCATCCTGCTGCGCCTGCTCCCGAGTCTGCCGACCAGCCAGCCCTCCGTCCCCTGCCGCCCCTCTGGCCTGCCCTGCAGGGTGGCCCCTCCCCCTCCCCCAGGTCTGCGGGTCGGGCACGGAGTCCCACCCCAAGAGCGGACAAGGGGACGCTCTGTGGGAGGCACTCACGCCCGCCCCGCAGCGCTGCCCCCGTCGCGGGCCGGGGTCCTCGGCCTGCGGCGTCCGGCAGGGCCACCGCCTCGCCGCGCTCCCCGCAGTCGCGCCGACGTGCGTCATCGCTCCGTTTAGAACGTCCCCTTTGCCTTGGTCCGGCGGCTCAGCGGGTTGGCGCGTCGTCCCGGACACCAGAAGGGGGAGGGTTTGGTTCCCCATCAGAGCACATGCTCGGGGAGCAAGTGCAGCCCGCGGGCAGGACGTGTACGGAGGGCACCCGATCGACGTGTCTCTGCTGCTCTCTCTCCAACCCACACGCTCACCCTGGGGGGGACCGAGACGCGTGAAGACGCCTGTCTGCCTGCCGGACGGCGCCTGGGGGCTGCGCCGCGTCGGCCCCGCCCCGGCCCTCCGGCCTCCTGTCCCGTCTCACAGGGACCGTGAGGAGGCCGAGGGCCCGCGCCCTGGGCGGGGGTTGGGACTCGGGCGGGGCCGGCGCTGAGTGCCCGTGTGCCCCGAGGCAGGACCCAGGAGGCGCTGAAGGGCGGGCGCTTCGTGGACGTGCTGAGCATCCTGCTGCGGCTGCAGCGCATCTGCAACCACCCGGGGCTGGTGGCGCCCCGGCGCCCGCAGTCCTCGCTCTCGGCCGGGCCGCTGCGGCTGCGCGTGGCCTCCCTCATCCTGAAGGCGCTCGACCGGGACGCCTGGAAGGTAAGGAGGGGCCGGGGGCGGCTCTGTGGGAGGCCGGCGGCCCGCGTGCTGGGCGTCCCTGCCCCCCAGCGCCCGCGTCGGGCGCCTCCCCGGGGGTGGGCTGTCCTCGCCCAGCACGCGCTGCCGGCTCTGGGGAGGGGCGGGCCCAGGGGCTTCGAGGTGCACCCTGGGAGCGTGGGGTGGTCAGAGGGCCGGGGACCGCGGGCCAGCCAGCCGCCGCCGCCGCCGCCAAGGTCGCTGCAGAGAGGGACAGGGGCCTCAGCGGGCCGGTCAGCCCCCAGGCCTCGGCACGTCCACGGAGGCGCGGTCCCTCTGCCGCGCGCCGCGCCGGCGCCCCGGGCTCAGCCCCTGCCGTGGGCGGCAGGCTGGCCCCGGGGCCCCCACAGGGCCGTGCAGCGTCACCCGCGCCCTCGTGCACCGTGATGCTCCAGGGCACACGCGCGCACGGCGACCGCCACGCCCGTGCCCCCCTCTCAGTGGATTCACCTGCGTCGTGCAAGGGGCACGTTTCCCGTAGGTGCCGCCGTGCGGCGTGTGGGCGTGGCATTCAGCGTGGTAGCTTCAGGGTTCGCCGCGTGTAGTAGGGTTTCCCTTCTTGGAAGGCTGAGTGGCTCTCCCGCACACACACCCCACATTTTCTTTGTCTGCTCATCCGTCGGACGTTCGGGTTGCGTCCACGCCCTGGCCATCGTCACCATGCACACGTTTCCTGTGGACGTGGGAGTGTTGTCCTCAGGCGTGTGTCTAGGCCTGGAAGCACGGGCCATGTTCTGGCTGCGCGTGCTCCCGCCCGCCCGCCCGTGTGTGCAGGAGGCAGGGGTCCCTTTCTCCTCATCCCTGCCCCCCCGCCCCCCCCACCACAACCCACCCTCCTTGACTCACCATCCTGTGGGTGTGAGGTTGCACTTTTGTTGTGAAAGCTGAGGGAAGCCCACGTGGGGTGTCTCGGGGGGTCCCCAGCTGGGGACACAAGCAGTGAATGCTCACCGAGGAATGAGCGTCCCCAGGGCTCTGCTGTTGGGCGAGTGACGTGCCCCACGTCCACGCCAGCTCTTGGGTCTCCCCCTAGCCCCTTCCTCCCGACGAGGCCTGGCACCCCCGTGCCATCCAGACCTCCCTCTCCCCTCTGCCGGGTCCCCTCGGTCTCTGGGGACTGCCGCCTCCATTTCCACAACTGCTCAGGGGGACCAAGTGCCGTCGTCCGCATCTCCGAGCTGGGAAGGCCGAGGCATGCTGAGCCCCAGAGCGTGGCGCAGGCGAGAGCTGCAGCAGCCCTTCTGGGGGCAGACGGCCGGCCTTGCTGCCTGCGGACTGCCTTGGGCTCTTAGTCGAGGGCTCTCCTGTTGCTTCATGTAGCTCATTTTTCTTTTTCTACTTAGGAAACCGATCTTTCTATATTTGACCTCGTTGGCTTAGAAAATAGAATGACTCGCCACGAGGCCGAGTGGCTCTGCAAGAAAAGGCTAACCCGGAAGCTCATCGAGGAGCTCTCCACGGCGCCGCCCCCGCCGGGCAGGCCGCCCGCCGCCAGGCTGAAGCCCAGCAGGTGGGTGCTGCGGGCGGCGTCGGGGCTCCCCGACTGGCTGCGGCCGGGCCCTGGCCGGTCCGAGCGGGGCCCCTGGAGGAGGTGGGAAGAGCCACCCAGGCGGGGGCTCTGTGGGGCGCCGGGCGCCGGGCTGCGCGAGGCCTCATCGCCGCTTCGCGGTCTGTGCCTGTGGGCACGGCAGTGCGGGCCCTCTGCATGCGCCCTCTGCACGCGCCCGCCTGAGGAGGAGCGGCCCTTACCGTCTTTCAGGAGCATCGGGGGAGGGGAGGGTGCTGGGGACCCGCAGGCGGGCCGTCACCGGAGCCAGGCAGCCACGTGGCGAGGGCAGGGGGTCGCCGTGGGGCAGTGCTGGGCCTGTGGCGGCAGGGGGCCCCACCCTGACTGAGCGGAAGGGTCGCCGTTGTGAAAGGCCCTGAGGCTGCCGTGGAGCACTAGGGAGAGGCTAATCCAGTGAGCTGGCGATAGGCAAAATCCTAGGCTTGGGGCAAAAAAGAGGGAGGAAAGGAACAGTAAGTGTTTTGGATACAAAGGGCTATTCCACAGACTGCAGTCCTCCTGGCGGCCCCTCCCGCAGTGAGGGCCCCGCCCCCCCGCCCTCGCCCCCAGCCTGCGGCTCCCCCCGGCGCAGCCCCCGTGGAGGTGGGCTCCCGCCTGCGGGCTTGCCCTCTGCCGTGGGAGAGGCGCCTTTCTGGGTCTGCCTTCTCTGTCTGACGCCTGGGCTGCTTTTTCACCGGTGCTGCAGTTGACCTTGCACCCCACTGACGCGTGGACTCGGTGTCAGGAGTCCACCCAGCCCACGCTGCTGGGAGCTCGGCTGCAGCAGAGTCACGCCCCGCACCACGCAGGCGGGAGGCCCCCCCCCCCCCCTGGGGACTGTGTGTTGCCGACAGCTCCCTGGAGACCTGCCCCGCCGTAACCCGCTCGGGGCCGGGGCTGGGGTTGGGGGGGGCCTCTGCTGCTCAGTCTGGCACCCAGGCCCGCGCCCCAGTGATGCTGTGTCTTCTCGCCCGCGCGGCGCTTAGGTTGTTTCAGCCTGTGCAGTACGGCCAGAAGCCCGAGGGCCGCACGGTGGCCTTCCCCAGCGCTCACCCACCCAGGACAGCCACCTCCGCTGCGGCCACTGCCACCCCGCAGGGCCACGTTCGAGGACGGCCACCTATCGCCACGTTCTCTGCAAACCCGGATTCCAAAGGTACGTCCCGCGTGGTGCTTTGCTCACATCTTGGAGGGTGCGCCCTCGCCCTTGTGCCGCGGGCCTCCGCTCCAGCTCTGCTGGAGGGACGTGTGCAGCCCTCAGGCGATTTTGAGGCTCTTTAAAGTTTCTTTAAACCGGATTTCGACACAATACACTGCGCTCAGAGGGGAGTCATGGTTGGCGTGGCAGCGAGGGTGCTTCTGGGGGAGGCACGCTCACGTACGGAACTCGGCTCCGAAGCTTCCGAGGAGGCTGCTGTCCTGTCTCGTGCCCCTGCTTTGCTGTCACCACGCAATTGTGGAAGAGGAGGCCCGGGCGAGGCGGCCACGAGAGATGGAAGGAGCGCCGCAAGCCCCATCCGCGCGTCCTCGGGGCCGTGCACCCGGCAGCGTGTGAGCGTCCAGGTCCACTTCGGGCCGGAGCTCCTGGTGCGGCCGGGGTGCAGCCTTGTGTGCGCCCTCGCGGCGGTCGGGGCAGTCTCCGATGGACCCCGGGGCTCACACGGCCGACGTCCTCACGCCCGTTGACAGCAGAAGTGTGCCGCACGGTCTGCTGATCCGCTCCGAGTGAGAAAGTTGACAGCTGATAGAAAGCTGGGCTCGTCTCGGTCTGGAGACCACGCTGGCCTCCGCTCCCTTTGTTAGAACTTCTCATTTGAGAGACTCTGTGAAATGTTTGTTTTCTTTCTTTGAAAGTCGGGTTTAAAAGACTGCGCTGATCAGAACCTCTAACAGCTCTGCACAAACCGCCCTTGTCAATTGCAGCGGCCGCAGCCCCGTTGCAGACCTCTCAGGCTCCCACCGGTGCGCCGAGACCCCAGGCCGCCTCGACCTGCAGCACAGCTCCTAGCCCAGCCCATCCTGCGAAGCTGCGGGCTCAGACCACTGCCCAGGCCTCCGCCCCGGGCCCGCCCCAGCCCCAGCCCCAGGCCCCCTCGCACCCGGCGGGGCAGAGCGCGCTGCCGCAGGGGCTGCTGCTCACCTCGCAGGCCCAGGCGCGCCTGCCCAGTAAGTGGCCTCGCCTCTCCGGTGGTTCTGCCCCTCCCCCAGGGAGCCGTGTTCCGAGCAGTGGTGTCAAGAGCCTCGCTGTCCACTCCTGTCCCCCACGCTGGGCGCTGTCTTTGCCATGCTGTCCTCTCCGGCCCGCGGCCGCCAGCGCCAGCGCCAGGGCCCGCCCTCTCTCTCCTCCCTCCGGGCCTGCGCGGCAGCTCTGCTCTCCTTGCGCTCGGGCTCTGCGCTGTGTGCTCCGGGCTGTGCCTCCCTGTCGGCCAGGCTTCCGGCCGGCAGCAGCGCCGCGGCCAGCAGGGGGCGGGGAGGCGCGGTGGAGGTGGGTCGCTTCCGGGGGAATGAGCATCAGTTTCTAAAAACTGACTTCCTTTTTGTCTCTTGTTACCAAATTTGAGCCTGGGATGAATTACTGCTCAGTGGAGACATTTTGTAATAATTCAGTGACTGGAACATCAGAATATTATGAATTATTTTAATAGAACTTCTCATTGTGACCAGCATGATAGCATATTTCCAAATCTCACGTGGACCCTGTTGGTTCTGCTGCGGGAAGTGCCCAGCTGCTGCCATGGGCTGCACCGTGTCTCTGGTGCGGGGCCGCCTCGCGTGCCCATGCTTGCGGTGCGGCAGGCTGTGTGGAGGCCTCCGGGGAGGCTCAGAGAGCACAGGGCCTGGGGCCACCGTGCTCACGCTGGGCGGGGAGGGGGGGCGCTGGTCCATCGCCTGTGAGTGGTCGTCGCTCGGTCACTGTCTGCGGGACGCGCTTCCTGGCGTGGGGCGGGCCCGCGCGCAGCGCCCCACAAGCCGTGCCCGCAGCACCGCCCGCCGGCGCCCTCAGTCTGCTGGCCTCGCCTCTGCGCGGCCGCCGGGGCTTGGGGGGTGGGGGTCTCCACGTGCAAACCTCACGCCTCCTTTCCTTCTGCCGCCCTTGGGCGTGGTTTCTGTGCACAAGACACCTGGGTGTTTTCCTCGTCTTTTGCTTACTGTCTTTTTTATCTCAGCACTAATAACTCTTGCATGGATTTCCTTGGGAGGGATGTTTAGACTCAAATATCAGCCATTGGGTAAAATAACCTTTAATCCTCTGTACATACAGCCTTTTTGAGTGAGGTGCATGTGACTCCACCTGAGTTAGGTTCTCAAAGATCCTAAGCGACGTGAAGCTGGCATTTTCCTGGTGGCGCACACTGCAGGCCGGGTCCCACGATCTGGTTCAAACAGCGTGGATCTGCTCGTCGGAAAGCCACGCTCATGTGCAGTGTTCGAGACTTGAACGTTGAGGAGGCTGTGAGCCAGCCGGGTGTGGGCTGACACTTTCGGGAGGTTCTCTGGAGCAGAGGTTGGCACAAGGTTCTCAGGGCCTGTCAGATAGATTTCCGCTGTTCCTGATGTCTGCCACTTCTTCACTGGCTGGAGAGGAAAGTAAAGTGTCCCTTAGTAGCTTGGTTACTGGTCCTACCATCTTGAAGTCTAAAACCTCTGTCAGTTGTAACTGCAGAAGCTAATCGTTAGGCCCTGACGTTGACTTTCTCTTTTCTGTTAAGAGAGTTGCTTTCTGACGGTGCCCGCACCGCGTAACCCACATTCTTCTGCCCGCTCAGCTACCACGGTCCCTGCGTGTGGTAGACAGCTGTCAGCGTCGCCGGCGCACGCATTCCACCGCGGCTTCACCTGTGTCCTCTGTGTTCCCGCAGGCGGGGAGGTGGTCAAAATAGCACAGCTGGCTTCGCTTGCAGGACCGCCGAGCCGAGTCGCCCAGCCGGAGACCCCCGTGACGCTGCAGTTCCAGGGGAGCAAGTTCACCCTGTCGCACAGCCAGCTGCGGCAGCTCACGGCCGGCCAGCCCCTGCAGCTGCAAGGTGAGAGGCTGCTGGCTCGCCCCGCGGCCCAGCGAGGACCACGCCGCGGGCCCCTTGCGGCCGGAGACGGCAGGCAGCTGCCGCTGCCCTTGGTCACGGTGACTTTCAGCTCAGGGGCCTCCCTGTGGATGTCACAGTGAGCCGGACCTCGGAGGGTGCGACCTCGGAGGGTGCAGGGAGGACCAGCGGAGTGTCACCTGGCTGCCCCCGACACGTGTTCGAAGGTGGCAGTCATGTTTAAAACCCTCCCCTTTGTTAGAATTTCCCTGTTCTAAAAATCAAAAAGAGACGTTTGCTGCTTTCTAGTTTACTGTGAGGTGACTGGCCCTAAAGACGCCAACAGACGGGCGGTTCCTGGGGGGAAAGCTGTGGTCTGACGCAGTCAGGCAGCTCCCGACCGGAGCCTCCGGGCCGTGGCCAGAGCGAAGGGTGTGTCCATGCAGTGGCCGCGTTTTGAAGGACAGGGGTGCAGTGTGAGTGGCACACTCATTAGTCCCAACAGGCCGCATGGCCACAGTCCAGGCATTTGTGTCTGTTTCGGCTGTAGGTTTGGATTCAGGGGTGGTGTGAGCCGCACCCCCCAGCCCCTTCCCCAGCAGCTCCCGTGGGACAAGCTGTCAGAGCAGGAGGGCGCTGCCGGGTCACCGTCAGCAGAGAGCCTGTGCGGTGGGGTTTAGTGCCGCGTTCCCCCAGTTCTCTGGTGCAAGGAGCAGGGCTGCGGCCGCCCTGTCGGGTGCACCCCAGCTTCCGTGGCACGTGGGCGCCTCCCGCAGAGCCAGAGAGGCAGGGAGACTCCCCGACGCCGCAGGCCGAAAGGGCCAGCTCCTCAGGCAGAGCCGCGGCATTTGAACTAAAAACACATTTTGGGATGTTTCTTCACCCAGCGGGCAGGTGTGGTGCAGGCAGGAGCCAGGACCTGCACCGGTGACGCGGGTCTCAGGCAGATGCGATGGACCCTGCGCGGGTGCCCGTGGCGCTCACAGATAGCGTGGGTTTCTGGGAATAGACAAGCTTGCTTTGGTGGTTAAGAAAAATGACGTCGTTCCTCAGAGTTGCGTTTCTTGTGAATATGGTGTTTTCCTTTCCCCCAAGTGACTGAGCCTTGCCCGTGGGGGTGGGTCTGGCGTGGGGTTTCCGGGGGCGGCCTCGGCTGTCTGCACCTGGGGGGTGCGCTCCGGCGAGGACAGCCGCGAGACCGCCCCCACCCCAGCGCGTGTGCTTGCAGGCAGCGTCCTCCAGATCGTGTCCGCCCCCGGGCAGTCCTACCTGCGTCCTCCGGGCCCTGTGGTGATGCAGACCGTGGCCCAGGCGGGCGCCCTGAGCGCCCTGGGAAGCAAGCCCCCGGCCGGGGGCCCCGGCCCCGCCCCCGCGGCCCCGCCAGGTAAAGCACCCCGAGCGGGGAGGGGACCATCCGCAGCGCTTCCTCCCGATTCTTTGCCTCGAAGGTAACTGGGCGGCACTGGGGTTTCTGACGTGCGGGGCCTCAGAGCCTGAAGGCCCCACTGTGGCCACGTCCCCTTGGTTTGTTCCTCTCGCTTTCGCTCTCAGAGTTACTGGCTGGCTATCACCAGCCCCTGCCTACCTCAGGTTTTTGCTTCGGTCCCAGAACCGCCCCTGGGACCGGCATCGAGGCAGGGTGTAGCCCTCCTCTGTCTCGCCCGGCCTGGGCTGCCCCACCCTGTCCATGGCCAGCTCCCTGGCTCCCTGCAGCCTCGTCAGCGCAGCCCTCCTGTTGTGCGAAAAGCCGAGTGTGAGTCCAGCTGTGGGACATTCTAAGAAAGGCAAAAGGCAAATACGTATCGCTGCTTGCCAACTCCAAAGAAACAGCCCGGAGGACCGGCTGCGTCCGGCCTGAGTGCGTCAGGACACCGGGGCGGCCTGTCCTGGAGTCTCTGCAGCGCGGGCCTTCCCCGTGCCGGGTCCAAGGACAGGAAACAGAGCAGACGGGGCAAGAGAGCCGCGTGCGGTCAGAAGCCAACTGTTCTGTCCAGGCTCCTGTTCCGCAGCGGTTTCTTTTTGGCTGTTCCTTGGCTGAGGAGCTGGCCAGTCTCCCACAGAACCCTTCATGATAGCTCCTGGGTGGGCGGAGGCATGGGGGCTTGGGCGGGACCCCTGTCCTCACATATGGCCCCCCCCCACTCCCCTCCCCAGGGCCTTCTGGCCCCCGAGGCCTCTGTGAACTGCCCCCTGAGGCACGCAGCTGGCCCTGGCTGCTCTGGAGGGCAGCGCTGACTCCTGGCCCGAGGGCCGACGGGCCCCAGCGGTCTCTGCGCAGTGTGGTCACCGCGAGGGTGGCCATGAGTCCGGTGCATGCAGGCGCACTGAAGGGGAGGGACAGGCTGGCGCTCCGACCGGTCCGGCTGCGAGCATGCACGTCCCGGACCTCGCCAGCGAGAGGCGGCGCTGATCCTGAGCACACGCCGGGCGGGGCAGGGGGGGGGCGTCCTGTGCAGCGGCTGGGGGGCCGGGCCTTTGTTGCCGACTGTGGCCGTTGCCTTGTAGTTGGCGTGCCTGGTCGAGTGGCAGTCAACCCCCTGACCGCAGGAGAACCCGGAATGGCCTCCAAACCCTCCTCCCCCCTCGGAGGGCCAACCCAGGTACGAGGCCGCGTGCAGGGCGCTCCCGCGGCGTGCACGCCCCCTGTGCACCTCCGCGGACGCTGTCTGCCTTACGTCGTTTCCATTTTAAGAACACTGCCCCTTTTTTGTGATGTTTTTATTGTTATTCTATTGCAGTTGTCCCCATTTTGCCCTCTTCTGCCCATTCAACCCTGCCCCCCCCCCCCACAGTCAGTTCCTAGCTGTTGTCCATGACATGGGTCATTCACACGTGTTCTTTGGTCCCTTAAAAATGCTTTTCTAATGAAATGCAGCTGGGCTTTTCTTACGTTTTTATACTCTTCTCCCGCCTTCCACGCTTTGGAAATGCTCACTGCCTCAAGAAACTGCCTGCTCTCTCGCTGCCTTTCTGCCCATGTTTCTCGTGGAGCAGGCCCCGCCTGGTGGGGTGCGCTCAGTGCGGCAGGGCTCCCCCGGGACCCCGCAGGGCCCCCGCTGGCCCGCCGTTTCCCATTGACCACTTTCATCGTTGTTTGACAGGAGGAGAAGACCCGGTTCTTGAAAGAGCGGCTGGACCAGATCCACTCCGTCAACGAGCGGCGCTGCTCCCGGGCCCCCGTCTACGGCACGGACCTGCTGCGGATCTGCTCCCGGGCCTGCGGGGAGCGGGGCCCGGGGCCCGGGGCCTTGGGCAGCAGACGCGGGAGGGGGGCCTGGCCAGCGAGCGGCTCCATGTCACCCTCGAGAAGCCAGAAGGGCCTGATTTTGACACTGACTCAGCGTCAAGAGTCCCTCCAGGATGTTGTCGACAGGTGAGCCCTGTGTTCACCTGTTTGCTCCTCCCACCCGACCCCTGGCGACCCCTTCTTGTCAGCTGACTGGCGCTCCCGGGCAGGGCGGGCTGCGGCCCATCGCCCCGTCCCTTGCTGCAGGGCACCGCGGTCGCGCCCACGTCTGGCAGTTGTGAACAAAGCCTCTGCGCACACGCGTGCCAGGTTTGTGTGTGGATGCGAGTTTTTGGCTCCTTTGGGTAAAAAGCCAAGGAGTGTGATTGCTGGACCGTGGAGTGAGTTCAGGTTTGTGAGAGGTGAGCGAACCACCGCCCTGCGCTGCTGCCGCGGCTGCTCCCGCCGGCCCCGCTCAGGGCGGTCAGTGCTGGTGCTCGGCCGTTGCAGCGGGCGCTGGCGTCTCGGTGCTTCGGTTTGCACCTCCCACGGCACGATGCGGACCGTCTCTTCCTTCGCTCGCTTGCGTCTGTGTATCTCCTTTAGTGAGTGGTCTGTTAGGGTCTTCGGTCCGTTTTTTAATCAGGTTGTTTTCTTACTGTTGACTCTTTTGAGTTCTTCATGCGTTTTGGCCAGCAGCCCTTTATCAGGTGTGTCTTTGCAAATATTTTGCCTCGGTCTGTGGCTTAGCTTTTTATCCTCTTGACGGCAACCTTTGCAGAACAGAAGTGTTTGATTTTAGCAGAGTCCTGTTTATCAGTTCTCTCGTGGATGGTGTCTTTGGTGTTACGTCTAGAAAGTCACTGCCAAGCCCGGGGTCGCCCAGGCTTTCCTGAACGTCATCGTCGCGTAGCTTTGTCGCTGTGCAGTTTGCGTTTAGGTCTGTAGCCACTGGAGCTCCTGTCGGTGGCAGCGCGAGGCGTGCGTCTGGGTTCCTGGCTTGCACGTGCTGCACAGTCCAGCCCTGCGTGTTGAAACAGCGTCATGTCTGCCGCTCTCTCGAAGGTCACGGGGCTGCCGTTTGGCGGGTCTGCGTCTGAGCGCTCGGCTCCGCCCCGCGGGCCTGCCCGCCCTGTCTCCCGCCGGCCGCCCGGCCCCGGCGCTGCGACTTCCGGGCCAGTGCCGCGTCGTCGGCGCTGCTGTCCTCAGGCTCTGTTCTCCAGCGTGCGTGGCTGCCCCACGTCTTCTGCCTCTGGGAAAACGTTGGGATCAGCTCGTCAGCGCCCACAGAGGGACTGGCTGGGCCTTTGACTGGGACTGTGCTGAGTGTCTCAGCCACGCTGGGAGGAGCTGGAGCAGGGCAGCCAGGAGCCCGTCTGTCCCCCGTTCTTGGGTTTCGCCGCCAGTACTGGGCTGGTGGGCGGCCTTCGGCTCGTGTGCCGTTGGTAGTGAGTCCCGGGAACTCGGCCTGGGCTGAGGGCCAGGGCAGGGGCGTTCCTGGTGCCGATGGCGCTGGGGGGCCAGGAGGTGGGTGTCAGGCATGGCGCAGGCCCTCCTCCCAGTCGGCCTCCCCTCCTGGTGGCGCCCAGGCTGGCGGGGGGCGGAGCACCCTCGCCCCAACTGCCCCGGGAGACACGCCTCTCGCGGGGAGCCGAGCGTCTGTGCCGACGCTGGCGGGTCTGCCAGGGGCGCCCTCGTAGCCCAGGGCTGTTGCAGCTGCTGCCACGGTGGCCGTGACAGAGAGTCTGGGCCGCTGGGCTCAGCCCGTGGGGCGACTCCGCCCGTCTGAGGTGCTCCCTGGGGCAGGTGCCGAGGTGCCCAAGCGACGAGCCTGCTCTCTGCTTCCCAGGGTGCTGTGCGTGATCCCGCCCGTGGTGGCCGCACCCCCGTGCTTGCGGGTGCTGCGGCCGCCCTCCCTCTACAGCCACAGGATGCGGCTCCTGAGGCACCGCCTGCGGGAGCAGACGGCGCCCTACGCCCAGCAGCTGCAGCGGGTGACGGCCCCGCGCTCACTGCGGTTCCCCGAGCTGAGGCTGGTCCAGCTCGACTCAGGTATGCGAGGCGGCCTCCGCGCACGTCCCCACGCCGCGCTCCTGGCTTCGGGCGGGGAGACACTCGGTGCTGTCCCCTCGCAGGGAAGCTGGAAGCCTTAGCCATCCTGCTGCAGAAGCTGAAGTCCGAAGGCCGTCGGGTGCTGATTCTGTCCCAGATGGTTCTCATGTTAGACATTTTGGAGATGTTCTTGAACTTCCATTACCTCACCTACATACGGATTGACGAAAACGCCAACAGCGAACAGCGGCAGGTAAGCGGGGCGTCTGCCTCCTCATCGGAGTCTAGCCTGGCCTCAGCGCTGGGTACATCCAGCGCGATCACGACCCCTTTGAAGAGAGGGACGAACGGACGTCCCTGTGTCTTTGAATTCAAGTGAGTCTTTAGCTCTGTCCTTCAATATTTTTTTTTTTTTTTTAAGATTTTATTTATTTATCTTTACAGAGAGGGACAGGGGAGAGAGGGAAACATCCACGTGTGGTTGCCTCTCTTGCGCCCCCTACCGGGCCTGCAGTCCAGCCTGCAACCCAGGCCTGTGCCCTGACTGGGGTTCAAACCAGCGACCCTTGGGTTCGCAGGCCGGCGCTCCGCCCGCTGAGCCGCACCAGCCGGGGCCGATACTTCTTTCTCATAAGTCATTTCACTCAAGACGTGCACAGTTGACCCAGTGTCGCAGAGTCAGAACTGCGAGCACGCAGTCACGGCAGAACAGGGCTGGCGTGCTCCAGGAGGCGTCCGTGGAGACACGGGCAGCCCAGCCGCCGCCTCCCCGGTTGGCGCCGTGCCGGTGGGAGCCCTGGGCTCTTTTCCTCCTGTCCGAGTGGCGAGGCTCCAGGCCTCTGACCAGCTGCCACAGGGCGCAGGCTCGTGCGGCCTGCCGGAGGGCCTCGCCCCCCTGAGCCCCGCCGCAGCCCGCACAGGCCGGTGGGCGCCGTCGTTTCCTGAGATGTGCTACGCGCCCGTCGGGGCGAGGGCTGTGCCCAGGGCAGAGCGGGGAGAAGGAGCTGTCCCTGGGCCGGGGCCTGGGCGGCCCCCGGAGCTGCGAGCACGGTGGCAGCAGGGCAGGGCGTTCCCGGAGCCGAAGGCGAGCGGCTGGCCTGTGCGCCGCAGCGCCCGCGTCACGCTCTGCGGCACGGCGGCCCACAGGCGCCCACGCCGCCTGCACACCGAGCGGTGCGGACGGAAGCCGCTGCTCCGGGGAGTGGAGTGGCAAAGGGCTGCAGACCTTGTTGAAGGTGGGGGGTTGTTCGCCCGTCGGGGTCTGTCGCAGGGCGGCATCGATTGCACAGGAGACGTGCTCAGTGAGGCGGCCCAGCAGCTGGCCCTGGGAGGGGGTGGGCGCTCCCGGCTCGTGCCCCGCTCCCTCGGCCTTACTCCAGGGGCTTTTGCTGTAAAGCACCCTGGCATTGCCCGGGGGGACATGAAAAAGCGCAGATTCCCTCCTCCGGAGGACGCTGCTTTCTTGGGGGGCCTACGAACTGAGCTGACAGCACATGTCCGGGAGCCCGACTGTCTCCTCATGTGGGGACTTGCGTGGTCTAACCTCTGTGTGGGGACATGAACGAGGACCTGAGGACACGAAAGAGCCAGTCAAATGCCAGGCATCCGTGTGGCTGGCACGTGGGCCCGTGCCCCGGGCGTCTCGTGGAGCACTCCCTGACAGCGCGCGTCGGGGGTCCTGACCGGCGTCTGTCGTCGCAGGAACTGATGCGGAGCTTCAACAGAGACAGGCGGGTCTTCTGCGCCCTCCTGTCCACGCGGAGCCGCGCCCCCGGCGTGAGCCTGGTGGAGGCCGACGCCGTGGTGTTCTACGACCACGACCTCAACCCCGTGCTGGACGCCCGGGCGCAGCAGTGGTGCGACAGGATCGGGAGGCGCAGGGACGTGCACGTGTACAGGTGCGGCCTGCGGGGGGCGCTGCCAGGGGACACCCCGGAGACTGGCGCTCGGGATGAGCCCAAGGCAGGATGGTTCCGCGTGGAGGCCGGGGGTGGGGGGCTCCTGGGCCCTCCATGCGCCGCCTGGGAGGTGGGGACAGTGGCCGTGCCGTCTTTGGCCACCACACGAAGGGTCGCACAGAGCGCGCAGGCAGGACAGGGGTCAGGGGCTTCGAGGGCTTCGAGGGCCTCGCCGAGCCCGCCCAGGAGGGACGCGCGCCCCCCGCCCCCCGCGGCCCCCGCGCGGCACTGCTGGCTGAGCCCTCGGGCGCCCGGCCGCTCAGCTGTCTCCGTGGCGGTGCCTCGATGTGCTTGTAGGCTTGTGAGTGGCAATTCCATTGAAGAGAAGCTCCTGAAGAACGGAACCAAAGACCTGATCCGGGAGGTGGCCGCCCAGGGCAACGACTACTCCATGGCGTTCCTGACGCAGGTGCCCGCCCGGGCCGGGTCCGCGGGGCGCTGTGCGTGGTGGCGGGTGTGTGGCTTTAGTCACCGTCGGCGAGGCAGCGCCTGACTCTTCTGGCGCTGAGCTCTTGCGCGCAGGTCAGGCCTGGAGCCGTGCCTTTGTTCCTGGGAGTCACGGGCTTCTTTGTGTTCAGCGGACCATCCAGGAGCTGTTCGAGGTGTATTCTCCTGTGGACGACGCTGGCTTCCCGGTGAAAGCCGAGGAGTTCGTTGTCCTCTCTCAGGAACCCTCTGTGGCGGAAACCATCGCGCCCAAAATCGCACGGCCTTTCATAGAGGTGAGGACAAACAGAGCCCGCCCGGCCCGGCCCCTCAGCGCTCACAGGCCCCGCGGGCTCCTCCCGGCCCTTCCTCCCAGACACACGCCCTCCCCGCACCATCCTCCTGAGCCCTCGGCACTGAGGGCTCGCTGCCCCCACTTCCCGTGTGAAAAACCAGTGATTCTGTTATTGAGAAGCAATCGAGGTGTGTGGCAAAAGCTTCAGGAACCTGTGGTGGCGAGTAGGTCTGCACAGACCGTCACGATGCCACCTGGGTGTCCCCGTCTGCTTCTGGGGACATCCCGTGGGCCGTGAACCCCCACAGCAGCGTCTCAGGTGTCCCTGTCAGGGAAGGGCAGGAGGGAGAGCTCGGCCTCCTCGAGGTCACGCCAGGGCGTCCTGGAGGAGCGTGAGTGCGCGTGAGGGACCTGAGCGGCCGCAGGCCCCCGGTGCTCCTGGGCGCCTCTCAGAGGCGCGGCTCGTCCGTGCGCAGGCACCTCCTGCTCTGTTTTCTCCAGAGCGGCAGTGTCCACGTGCTCGGGCTCTGCAGCCCTGGTGGCGGGCGGCGCGGCTGTGCCAGGCCCCGTCGTAGGCGTAGGGACGCAGCGCTGGGAGGCGGGCAGAAGTCTTGCCCACTGAGCCCCGTGTCCTAGGAAGGGGAGAGACAGCGAGGCAGCAGGGAGGCAAACAGGGCGAGTTCTCCCCGCAGGGGCGGGCCGTGCCCCGCAGCCAGGCCTGGGGGGCGGAGCAGGCCGCATCCGGGGAGGGCAGTAGTGGGCAGAGGACAGCTCGGAGGGGCCGGCCTGCGTGGGGCTGTGCGGGGGTCGGGGTCGGGGTCGGGGGTGGGGGTGGGGGGTGGGGGTGGAGGTGAGGTGACTAGACGTGTGATTCCAACCAACAGCTTAGCTCCGTGGGGCCTGTTTAGACGCCGTTGGTGGCGGCAGTGCAGACAGGCGGGGGCGGCTGAGGACCGAGGGACTCTGGAGGTGGAGTCGATGGTTTTTGAGGGTGAGGGTGTGGGTCAGGGCAGCGCCCCCCACGCCCACCAGCCCTGGGCGGGCGGCCCGTTGGCCATCGGGGCTGCGGGTGCAGCAGTTGTGCAAAGTGCCCTTTGCTGCTGGCGCCTTGGGCCTGGGCGCGGCTGTGGCTTTCCCGCAGCCGGCGCTTGTGGAAGGGTCTGCGCGGCAGGAGAAGCATGAGGACTTACGGGTAGTTCCCGTCACAGAGGCCTGTGCGGGGCTGCACGGAGTACCCAGAAACCCTGCACGCCGCCCCCACCTGGCCGTGGGCTGCTCCCTGGAGCCTGGCTCCTGCCCTGGGCAGAGGGCCTTCTCCCAGCAGCGGGCCGAGTCGGCTCCTGTGGCCGCTTGCCTGTGTTGTTGGCACAAGTGCGTTCGAGCCGCGGGCGCCCTGGGGTGAGGCCCCGGGCCATCGTGAGCAGGGGCCAGGTGCACCGGTGCTGCCAGTGGCGTGGGAGGGGGCGGTGGGCAGCTCATGGCCGGGACTAGGCGCGTGAGGGCGTGTGTGTCTCTCAGCTCCGCCTTCCTCTGCGTGTGGTGTTGGCTGGCAAGTTTGCGCCCTTTTCTGCTCGCGTCCTTGTCCTGCCTCTTAGCGTGTGTCTCTCGCTTTGTGTGCTCTGGGCGCAAGGCCTTTGCTGAATCCCTGGGAAGTCTCCCCCCAGGCTAAGGTTTGCCTTCTTCCTGCCGTCTTTCAACGAGCAGAAGTTCTTGGCCCTACGCCCACCCAAAGGGCGTCTTGGTCACGTGGTCGGCACTTCCGTGTCCGTTTCCAAGAGGCACTCGCCCTGCGGTCCAGATGACGTTCCCCTTTGCTTTTTTCTAGGTGCCTTTGTTGTATTCTTCATGTTTACGTATGCAGTTTGTCTGGAAATGATGTGTGTATAGTGTGGAGCAGAGTTCTATTTTAAACTTGGCAGATTTTGCCAAATTGCCCTGGAAGGAGGTTGCCCCGTGTCTCAGTCGACATCCTCTGAACACACCGTGTGGCCCTGGCGCCTCCACGTTGCCGCGCTGTCGGGCGCTCGGCTGTCGGGCCCGGTGCACAGCAGCCTGCCCTCTGGTTCGCATTTCCCGAACCGTGGTGAGGCGCCTGTTGTCGTCCATCCCGTTTGCTGTGGGCTTGGCTTCGGCTGCCTTGCTGCCGGGCGGTCACCTCCGGCTGACGCTGTGGGCAGGCCCGTGTCTCGTGCACCATGAGCAGCCGGTCTCCCTGTCAGGACCTGCGGGCGCTGTGGGCGTGGCCGAGAGACCAGGCACCCGTCCGGCAGGCTGCCAGGCCCGGGGCTTCACCGTGCGAGTCAGCGGGCCTGCCTGGGCCCTCGGGGCCGGCACGGCGCTGGGCCCCACACCCACTTTCTGCCCTCTCACTGCCCTGGTTTGTGCGTGTGAGGGGCCCTCCAGGAACGAGTGCCCCGCCCAAGGGTTCGGTGGGTAGTGCGGACGTCCAGCGAGGTCCCAGGGCATGGCTCTTTTGAAACCCCTTGGCTTGGAAGGTGAAGCCTGTCCGAGCCCCCAGCCCAAGCCCGTAACCCGCAGGCCCTGAAGAGCATCGAGTGTCTGGAGGGAGACGCGCAGGATCCCGCAGGGGAGACCGCGCCCGAGACCTCGGACCCCGGCAGCCCCCAGGGCCAGGAGCCCTCGCAGCTGGAGGAGCTGGCGGACTTCATGGAGCAGGTTTGGGCGTCTTCTCCTTTCTGCTTTCAACTCAGTTTGGTTTTTCTGTTTTACAAGTTTGTATTTTAAAAATACGTTCCTTTCACGAACTGATTGTTGTTGCCTTTGGCCAAGAACAGTCACTTTTCTGATTGAGGTATAAAGGTGGGAAATGTAAGGAAGCTTTAGCTTTGTTAACCTGCAGTTAACTGTATCCAAAACATGTTTTCAAACAGCTTACCCCAATTGAAAAATATGCTTTGAATTACCTGGAATTATTCCATACTTCCATCGATCACGAAAGAGAGAGGACCAGCGAGGTAAGAACCACCTTCCACGTGAGGGTCTCGGTTTCTGCGGCATTAGCTTTGGGGGAAGCGCGGCCCCCCTGGCGTCCACGGATGGTAACCCAGCTGCCCGGCACAGGGGCTCCCCGGCGGTGACCCTCAGGGAGCCTGTGTGGGCGGCTGCGGGTCTTCTGCAGCATGTGGTGCGCGACAGCCCGGGTGGCAGAGTGGGCGTCTCAGAAAATGAGCAGCCACAGCTCAGGGGAGCCACGGCAGGGAAGAGGGGGTCCTCTGTCTGAGCGAGAGACAGGTTGGGGGCAGGTGTGGGCCCGGGTGGGGACGGTGCCGGACGCTGTGTCCGGGCCTGTGTCTCCTGGCAGGATGCTGTGCTGACTGCGGTGAGCGCCTGGGAGGCCCAGAACCTGCGGGCGCTGCGGGAGCAGGAGGCCAGGGCGCTGCGGGCGTTGGAGCAGGAGCAGCTGCTCACCTACACCCGGGAGGACGCCTACAACGCGGTGCGCACTGTGCCCCGTCCCCACGCGGCAGCCCCGGCTCGTGCCCACAGAGAGCCACTGCCCGTGCTGCGGTTACAGGCGGCCTTTCCCTTGGTGGGGTAGCTCGGGAGGTCCTTGCGCTTAGCCCAGGGAGTTGCAAGGGCGGCTTGCAGCGCGCGGCAGGCTGGCTGTCCAGTTGAAAGCTTCCCCTCTGTCCCCCTCAGGAATACATCTACGAAGGTGCAGACGGGCAGACGGAAGTCATGCCGGTGAGTGCCTCGCCCTGTGGGTCCGCGTCCCCTGTGGCGCTGGCTGCCTCCCCCATGGCGCACTGTTCACGTGCTCCCTTCCCTGCGCAGCTGTGGACGCCGCCCACACCGCCCCAGGACGACAACGACATCTACGTAGACTCCGTCATGTGCCTCATGTACGAGACCACGCCCATCCCGGAGTCCAAGCTGCCGCCCGTGTACGTGAGGAAGGAGCGCCGGCGACACAGGACAGACCCCTCGGGTGAGCGCTGTCGGCACACGCAGGTGTCACGCCCCTTTCTGCCAGAGCTGGCAGGACCCTAGGCGTGCCCTGTCCCCGCGGTGAAGTCGGGAGGGGTTTGTGTTCGCCCAGGGCTCCGGGGGCCGGGCGTCCTCGTTGGCCCTGGTTTCCTTCCTCTGCTCCTCGAGGCGGGTGGGGCGCTCCGGTGGCCGCCGCGCTGAGCCGGCCCCTCTCCGCAGCGGCGGGCAGGAAGAAGAAGCAGCGTCACGGGGAGGCCGTCGTGCCCCCGCGGTCGCTGTTCGACCGCGCGACCCCCGGCCTGCTGAAGATGCGCCGGGAGGGGAAGGAGCAGAAGAAGAACCTCCTGCTGAAGCAGCAGACACAGTTCGCCAAGCCTCTGCCCACTTTTGCCAAACCGGCCGCCGAGTCAGGTCCCGACAACCCGGAGTGGCTCATCAGTGAGGACTGGGCACTGCTGCAGGTGAGCCTGTCCCCAAGGGCCCCTCCCCACACGCACGTCCACGTCCTTCCCATCGTTCTGGACATGGCAAAACCTGATGGTGCTCAGCGTGTTGACCTTGGGCCCGGCCTTGGTCCCGTAGGCTGTGAAGCAGCTGCTGGAGCTGCCGCTGAATCTCACGATCGTGTCCCCGGCCCACACGCCCAACTGGGACCTGGTGAGCGACGTCGTTAACTCCTGCAGCCGCATCTACCGCTCCTCCAAGCAGTGCCGCAGCCGCTACGAGAGCGTGCTCATCCCCCGGGAGGAGGGGAAGGTGAGCGCCGGGCGTCCGCGCGCAGCGTGGCTGGGGTTGGCAGGGCGGGGGCTGTCCTGCGCTGGCACGGGGCGTGGCTGCCGCGGTCACTTTGGATGCAGGCTGGGGTTCCCGGTGCCTGAGGTTCGTGTGACACGGCGTCTGCCCTGCTCTGTCGTCTGGGAAGCGCCGCGTGCTGCCTGATGGCTCCCGGCCCGGCCCGCGGGAGTGCTGCCGTGCCTCCCTGGGGCGCCGGAGGGCGCTCTGTCAGCGCACGGGAGGAGGAGTGGGAGTGTCGGCTCTCCCTGGCCTCTCTGCCGGTGGGGCGCGCTCTGGGCTCTCTGGCCCCAAGGAGCCGCGAGCGTTGCAGGTGTTGCCGGGCGCAGCACAGCGGCTCCTTGGCGCCCATCACCCGGGGGCCCAGAGCGTCTGCCGGCGGGGCAGTGCAGGTCCACGCTTGGGCGCCTCTTTGCGTCCCTCCGGAGCCGATCGGGCTCCTCGCACTTGCTATCCTGCTTCTCGGGCAGCGTGGCGGCTCTGTACCGGCCTCCGCGTACTGGCCTCGGGCCGCGCTCCCCGGGACAGGCGCCCCGTCCGCAGGGGAGTGCCAGGCTCGCCCTGCAGCGGGGTGGGCTTCCTGCGCCTCTGCTTGGGACGGCGTCAGGTTACTTCCATAGTCAGCTGTGGCGCCAGCTCAGCTGTCCCTTTCCTGAAAACATTTCTCTGCACATGAGGCATTTGAGGGTTTTTTGTTTAAAAACAAGCAAGCGAGCTTTTCTCGGGCCGCAGTTCTGGGGCCTTCGCCAGAAGCACGCGAGGTCTGTTATGTTTGGAAACATCTCTAACAGTGGCTGTCAGCTTAACGTGGGGCAGCGTGAAGCTGAAATGTGATGACCTGTCACCGTTCTTGGTGAAACTACGGAAAGCAAGCGTCGTTAGACGCGGAGGTGCCCTTCTGAGTCAGCGGGAACCTCGGCGAAGCAGCTCTCTGGTAGCAATGAGAGCCTTCACGCATGCCCCTCGTGGGGGGCTTTTCCGGAGGGGCTGCCACCCGTGGGGACGCCCTATGAGGCTTGCGATGGGGCAGCGGTGGGGAGGGTGGTGCTGGCGGGAGAGACGCACAAATTCCCCGGTGGCTCCCGCCGGCTAGGGCAGCGCCCCACGGCCAGGCGAGCGCAGACAGGAGCCGCTGCTGTGCTGGCCGTCACCCACCGCGGCCGCGCGCTCGCCCGGGGTTGGGTCCCAGGGCTGGCTGTCCTCGCTCTCCCTCCGTGTCCTCGGAGGCATGGCGACCCCCCTCTCGTGGGCGTTGCTGGTGTGGCTGTCCTCGGGTGTCCCTCCTCGATCGGAGGCCCCCGCTTAGCGCGGACGGCGCGTGTGTGTCTGCACCGCACGCACACCCGTCCCCCACCCGGGGCTCTCCCGCTGGAAGCTTTGTTTCCGCCTGCATTGGACTCCAGTTCAGAAACGGTCAGAACTTAGGGAACTTGGGGACCTGGCCCCGACACGGGGAGCTGCCCTGAGGTCCGTGGGGCACTGCGGTGTCCGAGGGGCAGGCAGGCTCTCGGTTGAGCTCTGGGGCTTAGGAGGGTGGCGCACAAGGCACAAGCAGTGCTGAGCCCCCCAAGAAAAGCCTCAGACACCAGGGACATCTGCCCCTTGGTGGCTCTCTGTCGAGAGAGGCCCACGGGGACGGTCAGGTCGCTGGGGAAGGTGTTGGCTCTGTCACTCGTCTTGGCTTCAGGCACTTGGCCCGCCGTTCCCTCTCCCCCTCCCCGGAGAAGGCGGGCTCTCGGGCTCTCGGCCTCTGGGCGGCTGGCGGCTCACATGGCAACATGTGGAAAGGCCCAGCACAGACTGGGGGGGGGGGGCACGTCGGTGGCAGCAGCTGGCGGCGCCTGTGCCATTGCTGTGCCAGGTCTCAGGGAGGAGGGGGCGGCTCACAGGGCCCGGGGGGCCTCCAGGCCAGGGAGCCCCGCGTGCAGGGCCGGTGTCAGGCGGCCGCTCTTTTTCAGAGCAAGAACAACCGTCCGCTGCGCACGGGGCAGATCTACGCCCAGGACGAGAACGCCACGCACACGCAGCTGTACACGAGCCACTTCGACCTCATGAAGATGACGGCCGGGAAGAGGAGCCCCCCCATCAAACCCCTGTAGGCCCCCGCGCTCCCCGCCCCGGCCCAGGGGCGGGGGCGGGGGCAGGTCCGTCCCGCGTCGTCTGTCTCCTTTCTCTTCCCCTGGTAACCATCGTCTCCCTCCCCTGCTGCAGGCTGGGCATGAACCCCTTCCAGAAGAACCCCAAGCACGCGTCTGTGCTGGCAGAAAGGTACTCCGAGTCGGCGGCGCACTTCCGTTCTCTGAAACGGTGGCATCCCAGGGGCTCCTACGCCCGATAAGGTCCTTGAGTTGTGGTGCCGGTGGTGGGTCCTGGCTTCAGCTGCGGGGGGCAGAGCAGCCGAGCCGGGGGCGGGGGGCTCTCATCCGGGGAGCGGTCTTGTTCACACAGGCAGGGTGCGGAAGGTATGCGGGGTGTCTCCCCGCCTGCCCCTGGGCAGAGGGCGCACCGATGGGGCAGGAGGGCTTTCGGCTCCCCTCCTCCTCTCTGACCTGGCAAACGTTTTGGCAGCTCTTCTACAAATGCACACCCAGTTGGGTGTGTGCACTTGCTCCACATCAAGGAGTTCTGCAGGGGACACGTGTGGGGAAGCTGCAGGGGTCCCAGGAGCAGGGGCTCCGTGAGAGGAAGGGGACACGTGCGGGAACGCACAGCCCTGGATCCGCTGGTCCGGCTGTGGGCCTGGAGGGCGGGGCAGTGTGCGTGCGGTCCAGGGCCTGGGGCTGTGTTCCCAGACAGGCCTGCCAGGGAGCGGGGCCCTGAGCTGGGGTGCCCCAGGCCACCTTCGCCCTCCCGGGCGGATGCACCCAGCGCCCCCACCTTTGGGCTGGACTGGAGTTGCCTCCGGCACCCGCGTTAGGACAACGAGGGCTCTGGGTTTCGAGAGTGCCTGTCTATGTAAGAATTTGCCGGTTTATTTTTACCAACTTCTGTCTTTCAGCGGAATCAACTACGACAAGCCCCTGCCCCCGATCCAGGTGGCGTCTCTCCGCGCAGAGCGCATCGCCAAAGAGAAGAAGGTACGCGGCCGGGTGGGCCTGGGGGCGGCGGGGCAGCTGCTGTCCGAGGCCGCAGCCCCGGCTGCCTCACGCTCTTTTCCCTCCTGCCCTGCAGGCGCTGGCCGATCAGCAGAAGGCGCAGCAGCCGCCCGTGGCGCAGCCCCCACCGCCCCCTCCGCAGCCGCAGCCGCCGCCGCCCCAGCAGCCGCCGCCGCCCCTGCCCCAGCCGCCGGCAGCAGGCACCCAGCAGCCCTCAGGGCCGCCCACCGTGCAGCCCCCCGCCCCAGCGCAGCCCCCGGCACAGCCGGCACAGCCCCCGCCAAAGGCGTCGCCCGCGATCACGACCGTGGGCAGTGCTGCCGTGCTGGTGAGCTGCCCCGCCGGCCCCGCGAGCCTGTCGAGACCCCTGCGGCACCCGGAGCGGCAGGCCTTCCTGTGGGGGGCAGGGGAGCCAGCCTTTCCCTGGGAGGGAGGGCCTGCTCCCCTCGGCCGGCGCGGGCCTCCAGAGCTCCTGCCGCGGGCTGGGCCCAGCGGTGGTTCGGGGGAGGCAGCTCTGCCTGGGGCAGGTGCCTGGGGAGTTTGGAATTAGGTGGGACCTTTGACCTGGAACTGAAGCAGTCACCCCGCCCCCGCCCCCGCCCACCTTCCCCGAAGCACCTGCATACGTGCTCTTGCCCACGCGTGGGACTTAGGTGCCTGTGCGAGGAACGTGGTGGGGCGCACCATCGAGGGAAAGGGGCGGGCTCGTGGTCGCACGCGCCGTGTGCCCTCCCTGCAGCGCCTTGCTGTGCTCCCTTGCCACGCAGTCCCTGCTGAGGCTGCCCGTGGGGAGCGTGCCCGGGGCTGAGGGGCGTTCCGCAGCCGAGCTCAGCCGCTGCGGGGCCGGGGATCAGTGTGGCCGGAGCACCGGTGTCAGAGGGCTGGACACCACGGTGCGGGGAGCTGGGGACAGAGGGGCTGGAGTTGGCCTGTGTGGCCAGTGACCATGGTCGGGAGCCTAGACCCGCGGGATGCTGATGACGGGGGAGCCTTTGGAGCGTTCACGGTGGGATGTGCGTGTGAGCTTGACCTGGTCTTCAAATGGCTGTCTCTTCAGCAGGCAGGAGCCATCAAAACGTCCGTGACGGGGACAAGCATGCCGGCAGGTGAGAGTCAGAGACACGCGGCAGGGCCTCGGCGCGCGCGCGCTTGCCTCACAGACCCTCCCCCCGCAGGCACAGTGAGCGGGAACGTGGTCGTGAGCACCATCGCGGGCGTCCCTGCCGCCACCTTCCAGTCGATTAACAAGCGCCTCGCTTCGCCCGTGGCACCTGGAGCCTTGACGGTGAGTCGCCCGCCCCTGGCGTGGGCGGAGGCACCCGACCGAGGACCCCCTGGAGGCCGTGCGCTCTTTGGAGAAAATGACCCCGGCACTGCCCTGGCTTGAGTCGCAGCGCGTCACGTGGACGTGCGGCCTTCCGGGAGGTCTCGGTTGCGCTTCTGCGGGCACGCGGGGGACGCCTCTCTGCCACCCCCTCCTCCCCAGGATGCCCCGGGGACCCCGCGGATGGCGGTGGCCCCGTGCCTGCCGGGGGTGCGGCGTGGGACAGAGATGGCTGCGCGGGGGCCCCGGCCGGGGGAGGGGCTGCGGCGCCGCGTGCGCGTGGCACGCGCTCGCTGCTGGAGTCGAGGGCCGGCCAGGCAACAGCGAGGAGCCCGGTTACGGGGCGTCCGGACCCAGGCGCCAGGGCAGGGAAGGGCGCGACCGGGGCAGAGGGGTAGGCGCAGAGCCGCAAGGCCGCCTGGGCGGAGCCCCGGGAGCTGGGGCGGTGGCTGCCCAGAGAGGCGGGGGTTCTGCAAGGCACTCCTCACGGCAGGCCACCTGCTTGTCCCTGCTGTTTAACCGTAAAAAGCAAAAGTGAATGACAGATTTAGGACTTTAAATTTACACCCCAACTTCCAGTTTAGTGATAGGCGCGAAGGCGACATCAGCAGAAGACACTGCGTCAGAGCCAGCAATGCTTTGGCGAATAGAACGATTCCCTTCTCGGGGTGTGAGAAGCGTCCTTCCCCAGAGACGAGGCTGCCGTCGCCCAGGCAGTGTGGTGCTGGCAGAAGGGTGAACGCCTGGGTCCCTGCGCTCGGGACAGAGTCAGGACCAGGCCCTCACACACGGCTGATTCCCGTCCAGTGCCGAGGGGACTCGAGAGGCAGGGTGGGCTTGTCAGCAGGCCGTGACCCGCAACTGACGCCGTCTGCAGGAAGCCCCTCACAGAGGGTCACAGACCAAAAGCCGAAAGCCTGGCCCCGCGCTTCTGGAAGGTGACGCTGAGAACGTCTCCATCTCCTTGGCTCAGGCAGACGTTTCTTAGGAGCCACGGCCTGCGGGTTACGAAAGGAAAATGAACAAATTAGACTTCATCAAAAATCATGAACTTCTGCTCTTGGAGAAGTATTTGTAGAACGTACCAGGTCAAGGACTGGTATTTAGATGCTGTAAAAATTCTTTAGTCAATAACAAGGAAACAAACAACTTTTTAAAATGGACAAGAGACCGTTACTTCACTGAAGAAGAAAAATGGATAGCAAGTAAGTGTGAGAAACACCGGGCTGGTAGGGAGTGCCCACTAGAGCCACGGTGACCCCGCGGCACTCGCCGGGGAAGCACGAAAAGCCATGCTGGCGGCCGAGCACTGGGGGACAGAGCAGCGGGGTGCCCATTGCCGGCGCGGCAGCACCTTCCGGCAACTCTGGAGAACAGCGGGGTTATCCCTCATAGAGGTAAACACGCGTTTGTCACACACCCTCACAGTTCCACTTCTTGGTTTCTCCAAAGAGAAATGTCTTCACAAAAAGCCTGACCACCGACATGCATAGTGGCTTCGCCCATAACTGGGAAGAACGGAGACAACCAAGCTCAGCTTCAGCAGGCCCGATGAGAACGACCTGTTTCTGTGTGTGGTGCCTTCAAAGATAAAGTGACGCATCCCCGCTGTGTGTGTGGAGTGCCCCCTGGGGGCTAGGGGCTGGCGCAAGGCGCAGGGCGAGCAGACAGCGGCAGGCCCTCTCGACCGGGGCAGCGGGGCTGCCGGGTGTAGGTTGTAAAACAGTGCCACTTCTGTTTTAAAAAAGTAAAGGAAGCTCGAGAATGCCTCTGGAAACCAGGAAACTGCGTTTAGAAAGAACATAGAGAACTGTTAGAAATGAAAAATAGTTACCAGCGTTGGACAAAGAAAACCTGACCGTGGGCTTGCTGCCAGCGGAGAGGGAGTAGTGGCCGGGAGGCGGGCTGGAGGGCACTGTCCGAAGGCAGCCTGGGGGTGCGGCCGACGGCCGGGCGGAGGGGCCGAGAGCCTGAGGGCCGGGCAGAGGCCGTGGAGACGTGTTCGCGGAACCGGCCCATGTAATCACAAGCCCAAATAACCCGCATCCGGGAGGATGGAGGGACCCGCGCCACACGCTGCAGCGACCCGGAACACGGCCGGCCGGCCGCCTGGGCTGCGCGGAGCTCCACCCTGGCCGCAGCGAGGCCGAGGGCCAAGGGCCAAGGGGGTGCCGCCTCTGTGTAACCAGAGGAGGCAGCCGCCACCCCGGGGCTGTCTCCTTTGAAAATACCTCAGACAGGGTAAATAGAAACATTTCCAAACCAAGCCCGAGGGAACACCTAACACCGGGAGGACTTTACTGAACCATGTCCTTTAGGCAGAAGGAGGGTATCCCAGGCGGAAGGGCTGCAGCGCGAACAGCAGGGGGGCCATGTGGGGGGCTGAGGGGAAGGCGGACCTCACTCGGGGCAACGGGCGCCGCGCTGCCCTGCAGCCTCCGCTGTTCACACGACGTGTGAGTCACTGATCGGACTTTGGTAATTGCTCACAGTGTGGTTCTTAAGTGAGACACCAAAAGAATAAAAATAGAGTGTAGTTTCCAGACTGGGGGGGGAAACAGGATAAAAATGCCTGAAAGAAGGCAAGACAGGAGATAAAGAACACGAACTGACGGGCGAGGTAGAAAGCACAGATCAGGACGTGGGATTTAGACCTGAACACGTCAGCAGTGAGCGGACTGAGCAGCCCACGACGCGGTGACTGCGCAGCAGGGGGCCGGCAGGGCAAGTGACGCGATTACGGGCGTCGGAAGTGGGGTCATCGGGGTCTGCGCAGCGATTCGCTGTGGGCACGGGGCAGCTGGGACTCGGCCAGAGCTCGGCCGCTCGGCAGCCGCGCCTGCCGGCTGGACGGAGGGTGTGCAGCAGGGGCCCTGCAGCACCTGGCGGCGGGGGGGCAGACGGGGTGGAGAGTCAAGGCCTCGGACTCTGTGTTTTGGGGTTAAACACAGGTACCCAGGGAATGGTCAAGTCTCAACAGCTCTGCCGCAGGAGGACAGAGGGACGGGCCGGTGTTTCAGAACGGGCGTGGGGACGCTGCCGTCAGGGTGGGCTCGAGCCTTGTGTGGTTGAGAGTCCTGCTCTTCTGCCCGAGGCGTGTGTTCTGAGTCGACAAGACCTGCCGCATGTGCTTCATTCACCCTCCTGGGTTCCGAGTTGGGTGCACTTTTTGTCTGAAGGGCGGTGCGGAGCCCCTGACAGGACCTCGCCTTGCCTTTCCAGACCTCCGGAGGCTCAGCGCCTGCCCAGGTGGTCCACACCCAGCCTCGGGCAGTTGGCTCCCCGGCCACTTCTGACCTGGTGTCCCTGGCGCCGACGCAGGGCGTCCGAGCGGTCACCTCCGTGACAGCCTCAGCTGTTGCCACGACCAGCCTGACCGCAGTGCAGACCCCAACCCGGTCTTTGGTGACTCAGGTGTCCCAAGGCAAGTATGGTTTGGTGTCCCGGGGTCCGTCGCCCCCGGGAAGACAGGACTTGGTCGGCCTCGGGTGGTCGTAGGGAAGAAGACCAGTGTCCGCGTGCCCCCTAACGAAACAACTTCTGCAGCCACAGGGGTTCAGCTCCCGGGGAAGACCCTCACGCCCGCGCACTTCCAGCTCCTCCGGCAGCAGCCGCCGCCGCCACCGCCGCCGCCCTCCCAGGCGCAGGTCCCACAGCTCCAGGGCCAGGCCCAGTCACCCGCACAGATCAAAGCTGTCAGCAAGCTGACCCCGGTGAGCGCCCCCAGGAGACCGTAAGCGCGCTGTCTGTGGGTGCTGCCATGACGTATATCGCGTCATTCGGCGTGTGCTCTGCAAAATCCGCCGTAGTCTGCGGGCAGGGAGTGAGTGTGGCCGCCCGTGGCAACATTTGCTGGCAGCACCCTGCAGGCCCCAGTGTCCAGACGACCTTTCCGCCCACTCTCCCTGGCTCCAGTCCCACCCAGAGGACTGCTCCTCAGGCCGGGGGCTGGCACAGCGAGGGCGCGGTGACTTGGGCTCGTTCTGGGCAGCCTCCTCGAGGCACCAGAGCACGACGCACCAGGGAGACGAAACGCAACCAAACCGGACATTTGTTTCCTGAGTCGCCCCAGCCACAGCTGCAGGGCTCAGTGGCCACAGGTGGCTGTGGCTTCAGTGTGGACAGTGCAGCGCTAGGCCCGGCCGTCACCGCAGGGGCCGCTGCGCGTGCCGGGTGAGTGGCAGGCCCGCGGAGGCGGCCGGCAGGGCTGGAGTCCCACCCGGCTCCCCCTGCTCCCCCTGCCCCCGCAGCCGGCCGGCGCCCCTCGCCCTGCGCTGCCGTCCCGGTCACTCCAGCAGGACGTTGAGAGAGATCTGAGTCATGAGCAGCTCACGGAACTTTTATTTTTTAGTTTTTTTCCCTTAGAAATACGTTTTGAGTTCTTATACTATTTTGATGTTTTGACTTAGACATGAAGTTTATTAACGAAGTCTATATGTAGATGGCTGGAGTAAGTGATTGAGCGCTGATGCACGCCTTACCATTTTGAAACTTAAGGAGGGACCGTGATTTTAAAACCTCTAAAAGTGTTGATGGTCTACAGACTTGCATTGGCTTGTTTGTGAGTGGCAACAACCTGGAAGTTGTGCTGTGAGCTCACTGAACCGTCAGCGTCACTGTTTCTGGTCTCCGGCCGGGATGTGCTGACCGCCGTTAACGAGGAACGTTTCGAAGCCGAGGGAGGGGCCCTGCGGGACGGCGTGTGCCCTGCGTGTTAGCGGCGGTCACTGTGGTGCTTCGGGCGTGGCAGAGCGGGGCGTGAAGCCAAGACAGACCGCGTGGGGGCCGTTAATGCTGATGAAAACCTTCTTTCTCTGGGTTTTAGGAACACCTGATCAAGATGCAGAAGCAGAAACTGCAGCTGCCCCCACAGGCGCCGCCGCCACAGGCCCCGCCGGGCCCCCCGCCGCCCCCCGCCCAGGTGCAGCCCTCGCCCCCCGCACAGCAGCAGAGCCCCCAGCTCACCGCCGTGACGGCCTCCCGGCCCGGAGCCCTGCTCACGGGCACTACCGTGGCCAACCTGCAGGTGGCCCGGCTCGTAAGTTCCCCGCGGTCAGTGGGCGCGTGGCTGTGTGATTGGTTAGCTCGCAGGCCTTGTCGGACCCCGCCCCGTGCGTCTGCGGGCAACGGGCAGAGCTGTGTCGGTCAGCCTCCAGGGAGACGCCTGCCACTGGCTGGCCGCCACTTTCCACCCTCGCGAGCCCTGTCCGTGTCTCGCCGCGTGGCCCTGCGTGGGAAATGTTTGCAGACACATGGCGTGCTGAGCCTCTGGGCTCCCTTTCTCTCCTCTGTGTTTAGACACGGGTCCCCACATCGCAGCTGCAGACGCAAGGCCAGATGCAGGCCCAAGCGCCCCCACCGGCGCAGGTGGCCCTGGCGAAGCCCCCGGTGGTGTCCGTGCCCGCAGCTGTGGTCTCCTCGCCGGGCGTCACGACCTTGCCCATGAACGTTGCTGGGATCAGCGTGGCCATTGGGCAGCCGCAGAAAGCCACAGGTGCCCACCCCCATCTGCTGGAGCCCGGCGCGGGCCGGCCAGCCCTCCCGCGGACCCACCCACGGGTGCCGCCGCGGCCCAGGCTCCGGCTCTGGCCCTGGATTTAGCCGTTCGCGTTTGGGGCTTCCCATCGCGTCACCGCAGCCCTTCCAACCGTGTGCCCCCAGTTTTCAAATGTACGCTGCCAGCCTGTCAGTCGGGGGCGCTGGTCTCTCCTCCCTTGGGTTGTCAAATAAGGGAATGACAGCAGCCACCACAGTAGCCACCCAGTGGGAGGGGCCAGAATCACACCGGTCTCCTCGTCAGGCCGGCAAACCGTGTTGTGTGTTGTGGCGCACACCCTAGTGACGAGCTCCTGTGCCACGAGCTGGGAACGGTGGGGAATCGCCGCTTCCCCTGAGTGTCCCGCGGGGCCCGGGGACGTCCTGAGTTGGGGTTGGGGGGGGGGCGGCTCTGCCTCGCGGCAGTTCTCTGTAGAAGCCGGTGGGTCCGGACGGCCCTGTGCCGCGGGGAAGGCAGGGGACGGCCGCGCGGCTGGGCACGCGACTCACCCCCGACCGGCGCCGGCAGGGCAGACCGTCGTGGCCCAGCCCGTGCACGTGCAGCAGCTGCTGAAGCTGAAGCAGCAGGCCGCGCAGCAGCAGAAGGCCATCCAGCCGCAGGCGGCCCCGGGCCCGGCGGCCGTCCAGCAGAAGGTGCGGGGTCCTCGCGCGCGCAGGGGTCGTGGGCGGTCCTGTCCTTAGGGTCGGTCGGCCCCTCGCAAGGCCCAGGGAGCCCTGAGAGCCCTGAGGATGAGAGCATCCTGAACGGGCCCCGCCTCGCTGCCTGGCACCCGGCGCTCAGGAGGCCCGGGGGTGGGTGCTGCTCCCGGGCCCTGCGGGAGGGCTTGTGCGGAGCAGTGAGGGTGCCGGCTGCGGGCAGGTGAGGGGCCGGGGCGCTTGGGGAGGCAGGGGCAGCTCGTAGCGTGGGACCGCCTGGGCGGCTGGGGCCCAGGGCAGGTGGGCAGGCGGGGGCCTCGTCCTGTGGCTGTGACCTGAAGGCGGGCAGTCAGCGTCCCACGGGCTCAGGATCTGGGCAGAGGCCGCCCTGAACTGACGCGGCTCCCCAGAGTCCTTTTCGGCGGCTGGCCCCGGGGGCGTGTGCGGCGCAGGCCCTGGCTGCCGCCCTCCTGAGGGGGCCTTCTCCCCTGTGGTGGGCGGGTCGGGGAAGGAAGCACCTCTCAGTCCCCGCCCGCCCCCGCCCCCCGTCAGCAGCCCTGGGGTCAGCCTCACAGGAGCCGGTGCGGGGTGGCTGGCTGGCGCCGGGTGACGCCAGGCCAGAGAGGCTGGCAGGCAGGGCCTGGGTGATCGCGTCTGCTGAGTGTGCGTCCCAATGAGAAGTAAAAAGGCTTTCCCCAAAGTGCGGGTCTGCGTGTGAACATAAGGCGAAAGAGAACTTCTGAGGCCTTAGAAGGGCCCGTGTGTAACCCAGCTGGAGAGCCCACGGGCGCCTGGCCTCCCGAGGGGTTGCTCTCTGGTAGAGGCACCTGGCAGCCAGGTTAGGTGCGCAGAGATCGGGCACACGGCTTTGTGCTCCTCATGCTCACCTTTCAAGGTACCTGCCACGTTCTCACAATTACGGTTAAGAAATTGCACGTGTGTGTTTCCTACATCGTGATCAAGTTTAGTCATGTGATGAGCACAGAACAATGAGCCCCAGCCCCGAACATGAGGGGACGTGGGGAGAGGAAGCCAGTGACGCGGGAGCTGGGCACAGCAGGGGGACGTGGCGGGGCGGGGGTGCAGAAGGCAGGCAGTGCGGGCGGTCACGTGGCGGGGGACGGGGCCCACAGAGGGGGTACACCGCCGCGCGGGCTCTAACCCCGGGGTGTCTCTCTCCAGATCGCCGCCCAGCAGATTGCTGCTCAGGGCCAACCCCAGAAGGTCACCTATGCCACCCAGCCCACCCTTAAAACCCAGTTTCTCACCACACCCATCTCCCAGGCTCAGAAACTGGCAGGGACTCAGCAGGTGCAGACCCAGATCCAGGTGAGCGGGAACCAGTACAAGGGCCGGGTTGCGGACACCGCAGGCACCCAGGGCCCTGCAGCCAACACGCAGGCTCCAGACAGTGAAGATGGGAGGGCACCGAGAGGAGGGTCCAGAGCCTCGCAGCCCCTGCTGCGGCCACCGCCCCCTGGCGGCCCTTGTGGGTGCTGCCGATGCGGGAACTGCCGCCTGGGTGCAGGCCTCTGGCACCGCAGTTGCCTCCTACTTCGGAGCGGACAGTGCCTCGGCGCCACGACGTGGCTGCCTAAGGGTGGGACCCACGGCCTTCCCGGAAGGTGCCCCAGCCCAGCCACGGCCAGGCGGCCACGCGCGCTCTTTCCTCCCTTCCGCTTTCTGCCGGCCCGGTGGGCGACCGGGGCTGCAGGGCCACGTCCGAGGTGCGCGGGTGGAGGCCCTGAGCCGGTCACTGTTACCGTGATCGGTTTTGAACTTGCCCTTGGCAGAGTGGGAAAACACCGTTTGGTCGCTAGAAGGGTCTGCTCCGTTTTGGGCGGTGTGCTGCCTGTTGCTCACCGCCCGTCTGCACTCCGTCCCCTTGAGCTCCCTGGTACCTCGGCCTGTGCCACCTGCGCTCCCAGCTCGGGGACAGCGGTCCCGCCCCGCTGGCCCCGCCCCCCGCAGTGCTGCAGGGACGCCTGACTTGCCGCGTGGCGCTGTTGGGGCACACTTTGCCAGGGCCTGCGTTCTGCTGTTGTGAGGCCCAGTGCGAGGCCCAGTGCGCGTTTCGCGTGGCGTTGTCTTCGGCGTCCTTAGTGCTCGCTGGGAGAGGGGCACAAAAACCTCCGCCCCAGGGTAGGGAGCTCTTCCTGTTTCTGCTTTTTACAGTATGCACTGTGCTGTTGGCTACACGTAGGCTTCCAGTGTTCCCGCTCTGAGGAGCCCGTGAGCACCGGGTCCCTTTGGTCCCGAAGCCTGTTGTCCTCACACCGAGACCCCCTCGCTGTGGCAGAGTCCCTGGCGTCCCTCCCCCTCGGCTCCCTGCCCTGTGTCTGCTTTGAACACGCCTCCAGAAAGTCGCGCCGGCACCGCCCGCGCTCTGTTGCCACCCGGCCTTTCATGCCGGTCTCTCCCCGGAAACACGCCCTCTCACTGGCGCGGCAGGGCTGGCACGGCTGGGCCGGCCTCCCACGTCGTTTGGGTTTTTGGCTCTGTTTTTTCCTCTCCATTCTTTCTTGTCTTCTCTTAGGTGGTTTGTGTATTTATTTTTCGTTGTTTTTTCTCTGTGAATTGGGAAATCACGCACTCTCTCTGCTCTCTAAGGGGTTACCTGCTGAGAGTGTGGGGCTGCCTGCTGCCTCGCCTGTGCCCCGGGGGGGGGGGTCTGTCGCCCCCCCGCCTGCTGTCCCTCGACAGAAACGCTGCTGTCCTTGCCCCCGCACGGCCCGCCCCCGTTCACTCTGACTTGTCTCGTGAAGTCGTTCTGCCTCAGGTGCACCCTCTGCGGTGTCCTCAACTCCTCTCTTCCTGAGAGATGTGTTCGCTTGGCCTGGCGTTTCTGATCCATGTACTTCAACGGTGGTTCCTGGCTCTTGGTTCCTTTGTTGTTGATGAAAAGGCACGTGCCTGTCCCTCCTGCCGTTGCCTTGAAGGTGACCTTCAGCCCCCGTTTCCTTTTGAGATCTTGACTTTGCCTTTGGCATTTTGCAACGGGAGTGCCAGGAGTTGGGCTCTTCTGGAGTCTGGACACCGATCTCACTTGCTGGTTTGGATGCGGACCCTGCCCCCGCCCTCCGGGCAGGCCCGCCGTCTCCTGCTGACATCGCCTGCCTGCTGGGCTGTGTCCCGAGGAGCATCCTCTAACCCACCTGTCCTGCCACTGACTCCTCCTTGGCCGGGTCTGATCGGCTGTTAAGCTTCTCCATTGATTTTTTATTTTGGTTATTATGTAATTTTTATTCTCAGACGTTCTGCTTGTTTTTGTCTGGATCTGCTCGGTCTGTAGTTCCGGCTGCGTAGACAGAACGCTCTGCGTTGTGGACATCTGGTAATTCCTCACCTGAAGTCCTGGAGCATTGATGTTCCTCGTTTTCTGCATTCTGGCTGCAGAGGCCGTGTTTCTTTGTCTTCCCAGGAATCGTTCCTTCAGGAGCCAGTTTTCTGGGGGGTGCGTGGTGGTCCGGGGCTTCTGTAGTTACCATTGGGACCACATCAGCTTGTGGCTTCTGGGTTTGGTGTCTCTCAGGGGACGCTGGTTTGGTCTCTAAGCCTGTGTCTCCTGTCCCCAGCTCCTAAGCAGGTGACTCCCTCACAGACCCCTTTGGGTGACAGGGGTGCAGCTGCAGGGCTGGTGTGCGGCCCTCCTGAGCGTGCGTCCGGCCTTGGCCTCGTGTCAGCCGCGCCCGGGCGCCGGGAGCAGCAGCGCCAGGCCGCCCGCCTCTGCCGGTTTTGACCGGCGCGAGCACGGCATCGCCTTAGGTTTGTCCACGGCACCTCAGTCCTGTCGGTGGGGACCCAGCACGGCCTGGGCACGGCTCTGCCCGTCTTAGCGAGTGCTGGTCACGGTGCTGTGTGTCCAGCTACAGTGAACCAGTCAGCGGCTTCTGGCTCAGCTTCTCTAACGAGGACCAGCATTCACTCGGAGCTTTGTCACTTACACGCACGTCATAGAACTTCACGTGTTCTCCAGAATTGTCTCGGGCAAGACTTGTTTCCACGCCCATTCCCCAAGTTAGAGGCCGGGGGGCGGGGGGGGAGGGCGTCAGGGCCCGCAGCAGCTGCCCTCTCGGGAGCCCGTCGGCTGCTCCGGTCCGGCGCCCCCGCAACTCCGGCTGCACACAGGTGGTGAGAAGCTTTGTTTTTTTATAAAGAGGCGGCGCGCAGTTGTAATTAAGGATGGCGGCCAAAATGAGCCCTTTGAAACCCTGGCGCATCTCGGGGCTAGAGCGGAATCGTGTTGCCCGTAGGGGCGCCTCCTGGGGCGGGGCCCAGACGTGAAGACGGGGCTCTCTGGAGGGCTCTTGAAATGCTAAAATATTTCATTCCATCCTCAATTTCATTTTCTCCTATAAAATTGGAGCAGTTCTTAGTAAGAGGAAAAATTTGACCCTGTAAAGTACGAGACCAAAAAGCAGCGCCAGGCGGCGGGGGAGGCGGTGGGGGAGGCGGCGCGGGCAGCACGGGGTCGGCTGTCCTCTGCCCTCCAGCCGCTGCCTGCGTTCGCATTAGGAACCGAGACGGAAAGAGGGAGAGAAATCCCTTGGCGCCTGCGTCCTTCTGAATTCTGCCTCTGGCTCTCTGTTCTGTCAAAGGTTGCAAAGCTCCCTCCAGTTGTACAGCAGCAGACCCCCGTGGCCGGCATCCCACAGGTCGCCGCTGCTTCCCAGCAGGTAGGTGCGGACAGGCAGCCGCCGGGAAGTCCCCACGGGCTTCTCAGGAGCCTTCCCGTTTCCCGGGTTGAGAGTCCTGGTTTCCTCCCTGAGAAGTAAAATGCCAATCATTAGAGGAGCACTTTAGATTTTCATAGTGCAGAAAAAAATGGACAAACTCTGCACCCCACGTCCCAAAGGGGCTCGTTTCTAGGACCGGTGCTCCCGCGGTCATGTGGGGGGGTCCTGGTCACCCCTGAAGGGAGGCTGGAAGTAGGAACGCCCGCGGGGCAGCCAGGATTGCCTCCTGACAAGGCCTGTCACCGCTTCACTGGGCGCTACAAAGTGCGGCCACAAATAAGCAGTGCTTCACACATTTTTATTTGTGGAACCACAGTGGCATGTGATCTCAAGGAACTAGATACAGTGGACCCTTGAACAATGGGAGGCTTAGGGGGGCGCCCCCGAGATCGAAAATTGGCGTGTAACTGAAGTGCGCCCTCCACGCATGCGGCTGCCCAGCCCGGGGCCGTTGACCCTCGCAGGACGGGGCTCGGGCTGCGCTGGCCCACGGCTGACAGGCCCGCGTGCACGCCCCGGCCTGCGCGGCTCGGCGGCTCTCGCCTTCGTCCCCGAGGCCTCCCGTTTTAGCCTGAGAGCGACCGCCGCTCAGTTTTCTGCTTTTTTTCTGGGTAGAAACCGGAGGGCATGTTTCAGTCCGTTGAGTCGTTTTCACATTTTACGGAAGAATCCGTGCTAGGGTTCTGAAACCCCCTGCTCACCCCGAGTGTTGTGTCTGTCGCATCACGGGACCTGCGTTTTTGAGGTGATGTGTGTTTTTGCTTTGGCTCAGGCGTCCCCACAGACTGTGACCCTCACGCAGGCGACAGCCGCCGGGCAGCAGGTCCAGATGATCCCTGCGGTGACTGCCACCGCACAGGTGGTCCAGCAGAAGCTCATGCAGCAGCAGGTGGTGACAACGGCAGCGGCCCAGCTGCAGGCCCCCGGCGTCCCCAACCCCACGCAGGTGCCAGCCAGCGCCGACAGCCCGAACCAGCAGCCCAAGCTGCAGATGAGAGTCCCTGCCGTCCGGTTGAAGACGCCCACCAAACCTCCGTGCCCCTAGTCAGGAACGCGGGCGGCCTCCGGGCAGGCCACTGCGCGCGCCCCTGCCCAGCCGGAGCCTGCAGGCTTCACGGATCGTCGAACCTCGGGGCGGCATCACGTGAGGCGTTCGACACCTGCAAGGCTGCGGCGGTGGCGGCGGCGCACCCACAGCACCCTCTCTGCCCACCCCAGCCCTCGTGGGCCACCCGCCGCCTCTGCCGGGGGAGCCCAGTTGGAAACGCGACGGTGCGGTTTCCCCTCCGTCACTTGCCCTTCCAGCCGCTCCTCCAGGGCAGCGGGGTTGGCATGAGAGCCTTGGGGTCTGTCAGGGCCTGAGCTTGCACGTCGTGGGGCTCCGTGGGACGCGCAGCAAGCTCCGAGTGACTTCCTGAGAGCATCCGCCTCTGCTTGGTTCTTGATGCCCAACTGAAACCACGTCATGGTCCTTCAGGGAGAGAGGCCATCCGGGCCCGGTCCCCTCGGGTCCGAGAGAGCCAGTGTGGCTGCTTCCTGCTCTCCTGAAACGCGACTTGTTGGAACTTTGAAAGAACCACCTGTGCTGATGCCCACAGAAGCACATTGGCGACACTGTCCCAGCTTGTGAGGAAGAAGAGCACTGTGATCGAGCTTCCATCCCAAAGAGCAGCCCGTGCGGCTGGTTTCCGTGCACACGGAACCTTCCGGACTGCTCCCACCCAGCACTCCCGCGACACTTCCCAGCTTTTGCGTAAAGCTTGCGCTCGGACTTGGCCCCCTGAAGCAGCTCCTGCAGGTTCGAGGGGCCCAGAGGACCGGGCAGGCGTGGGCGTGTTGCAGGCGTCGCGGCTGCGTGGGGGTGCACAGCGGGGTGCCCCCTCGGTGCCGGGTGCCTGCGGAGCTGCTCGGGCGGGCAGTCTGCTCGTGGCTGCTCCTGCTGGTGGGCCGAGGACCTCGGGTCGCTGGTCCAGGGCCTCGTACGGGCGCAGACACGCTCCTTCCTGGGCTTGCGTAGACCCTGCTCTGTCACGGGGCCATGGTGGAGAGGCACAGAGGAGGCGCCGTGTCTGTACTTGTGAGTTTTTTCACTCTGGCAAGAAGGCAGAACCAGTCGCAGTGGGCTTGATCGGACGGCGGCGTCCGCTTACCCGAGAGGGCCCACCAGGCCCGCGGCGCGGCCAAGGACCCTGCGCTGCGCCCCGAGGGGCTTTGTCTCTGTCTCTGTTCTCTGAGCTCCGCCGCCTCTGCACGCTGGGCCGGGCTGGGCCGGGCAGGTCTGCCCCTCGTGCCTGTTTCCCAGCAGCGCAGGGGGACAGCACCGTGGCAGCTCCCGGCGAGGCCAGTGGGGCCGGTCGGTCCTGAGTTCTTGGTGAGACGTTTGGAGAAAAGTAAAAATCAAGTGGTGAAAAAACGGAAGAGATTTAACATTTTAGTTAACTGAACATACGAAGACAGAGGACTGTTAACAAAGCCTTTTGGTTCTACTTTGTCAGAGGCTGGTGGCACTGAGCGCGTGCGCCGCCCCGGTCACCGGGGGCTCCCTGCTCCTCGTCCCTGTGTGCAGAGCCACCACGTGGGGGAGCCCCGTCCTCTCAGCCTGTTCGCCGTGCACCCTGTTTGCGCTCCTCTTGTCCCTCCCAGGGTGCTGGCTGTCCCTCCTCAGGTGGCGAGATGCTGATGCACTTACTCAGACACCCCCCCACCCCCCGACACAGCGGCTGCAGCGGGGGCTCCCTGTGAGCACAGGGCCTCGCAGGGCGTGAGACGTCGCCGGGCTTTCTGGGGGTGGGCCGTGCGCAGCCACGGCCGCTCACCCCCGGAGGGAGAGTGGTTTCTTCAGCGGCTCCGTGGCGCCGAGTATGGAACAGGAGAGAGTTCTCTTGTGTCGCTCGGCTTAGTGCCGTCCAGGGGTTGCCACCGACCTGACGTGCAGGCGCTGAGGTAGAGCCCCCCGCAGAATGCTGTTTCGAGGTTCGACTCCGTATGGAAGGGTTAGTTCGAGTTTCGGAGGTTGTCGCCCAGGCCTCCGGTCATGCTGCTAGAACCCGCGCTGCCTGTGAACCGGCGCCCGGCGGGGACAGAGAGAGACCTTCAGCAGGAAGGCGGCGGCGGGGCTCTGTCCAGCGGGAGCTGCTCTCTACGTAAGGAGGCCGCTCTGGCGGCTGCCGGGCTGTGTCCGCTGCGCCGCCGGGAAGCAGGAGGCTGGTCCCTGCGCGCGCAGGTGTGGTGCCTGGTGAGGCGTTCCTTTCGCGTCTGGGTGATTTTTTTTTTTTGTTTAACTGTCGTAACCAGGTAGCTGTTGCGTTTAAAAACAAAGGACAAATTGTAAATATTTTGTAAATATAATCATTTGTACTTGAATAGTAGAATTTTAAAAGGCACTGATGTCCCACCACACAAAAGGCATAATAAATTACCTTTTTATATGTTTTCTTCGTTTTCTCTTTCATTGAAAACCAGTCGAAGGAGGTGCGAGTTGTGTTTACTCCACTGCGCAGCCCTGGAGGGGGAGGCCTGCTTCTCCACCGCCCCCGCCCCCAAACGGGCGCACCTGCGGGCGCGGGCGCAGGCTCGCTGTGGGAGCACATTTATTCCTGCGGGGCCACGTCCCCTGGCCCCTGAGTCCCAGAGCCACGTGGTGGAGGGTGGCCCGTGTGCTCAGGGGCGCTGCCTGGCCCGCCACCCGCAGGCGAGGGTCCCCAGAGGGCCGGCGCTGGGCCAGCAGCCTCGCGCCCGGACACCCAGCGGCTCCGACCCGGCGGGCAGCAGGTGCTGCTCTTCTCTGTCCTCTTCCACTTTTAGACGTTTTTTCCTTTTGTAAAGAAATGTTCCTGGTTACAAAGAAAATACAACGCGCTCTTATTTTTTTAAATGCTCACCTAACACAAAGTGAAGAGGTGCCCCCAGAAGCCTGAGGTTGGTGTTGGAATCTGCCCCCCACTGTGCCATCGGGGTGCCTGGGCTGCCGCGTTGGCCTTGCGCTTGAGTCGCTCCACTCGGCCAGGGGCTGGGGCCCCTGCGAGCGTCACGGGCCCCCCCGCGGCCTGCGGGGGCGGGGACAGCGCGGGAGCCTCGCCGGAGCCCTCTGCCTGGCTGTGTGACAGGCTGGCGACTGTGCCCCTCTGGGCCTCGGTCTCCTCCCGTGGCCGCCGCGCCACGTGGAGCGTGCGCGCCCTCGGCACCTGCCCTCGGTCGTGGCTCTGCCCTCGGCTGTCCGTGGAGGAGGGGGTGTTTTCAGAGCGTCTCGGCCCTGCGGCCTCGACTCGCCGGCTGCGGTGGGGGCGCGGAGGGCAGGCTTCGCGGGAGCGCGGCTGCGGTGGGGGCGCGGGGCGCCTAGGTGATGGGACTCTGCTGCCGGGCACAGCGGGTCGCACCTCCGCCCCGTGAACCTCTCGGCCCCTGCCTGCCGCGCACGGGGCCCCCCGGGTACAGCGGAGCGTGAAGGGCGCCGCAGGCTGCCGTGGAGGCCTCACGCAGGCCTCTCGCTGGACTCTGACCTCCTGTCAGGCTTCCAGACGTTTCCAGACAGGGCTGCGGTTCCGGGCCCTGTGGGAGAAAAGAAGGGACTCCTCTGCCACCCGTTCCAGGCAGCAGGTCTTCGCTGCTCTGCCCCCGGCCCTTGTCTCCCTGGCCCTCCCTGGCCCTCCCTGGCCCTGCTTTAGGGTGCACACGTCCAGCGGAGTCGAGTGCAGCCGCTGGGAGCCGCTGGCGTGATCTGGGTGGGGGGCCCAGGTGAGCAGGGTCACGTGCGGGGCGCTGCCGGAACGGCGCGGCTCGTGCGCGCGCGTGTGGGCGCACGAGGACTGTGGGACAGCGGCCACCTCTGGGGAGGTGGGAGTCGCTCGTGGATAAAGGGGGTGCTTCCTTACAGTTTGGCATGACCTTGTAATTGCTTAAGCAGTTTGCCTTGTGCATTGTCTTTTAAACAAGGCGCTAGTGGCCTACTCATGACACCCCCTGGACCTGCCGCCCCACCGCAGGGAACTCCGTTTGTGGGAACAGTTCGCCTCCTCGCCTGACCCTGCGTCGCCCCCGTGACTCGCACCAGCTCCCCGCGTGCTGTCCTGTTGCCCGGTAGTTCTCCTTTGTCCGCCACGTGGTGACGCGTGTGCTGGCTGCTCCGTTCCCGTCTCCACGGTGTCCCAGGGCCTGGTGGCACCGGCAGCCAGTCCGCGGGGTCCGCCTCGCCTCCCCGGGGCGCGGCTACTCTCTCTCATCTCGGTTCTGTGAGTATCGAAGCGCGTTCCCTGCCAGCTTTATCAGCTCTGGCGGGCGCGTGAGAAGATCCGCGCTTGGCTCTTTCCTTAAAGAAAATCAAAGCTATTGAGAGATGGAAAATTACTGGTTTATTTGGCTGACGTTTATTGAGGACCCACTCGTGGCAGTTTACCACCTGGGCCCTGACAGGAGCTACGGGCCAGGCGGACGAGGAAGCACCTCAGGGGGCGGGGACAGGGGCACGGTCCTGGCAGGAGCCTGGGAGAGGGGAGGGCTGGCGCTCACCCTTCAGCCCCACGGAGAGGCCCGCAGCAGAAGGCCGCGGCCACCTCCCCACCGACGCTGGGCCCGGGGCAGGCGGGGGCCCCCAGCCGGGCCTCCACCGGCAGCCCGAAGTCCAGACTTGGACCCCACAGCCCGCCCGGCCGCCGGAGGCAGCCTGTGGCGAGCAGGCGAGTCCTGCAGGAGCGCGACGCGCCCGGGCGTCAGCGGCGACGCCCTGGGCCCGTGCGCAGGAAGGTCCGCGGCCGGGCTGGCCTGGAGGCCTTGTGGGCCCCCCGAGAAGCCTCTCCTCCGGCCGGGAGGCCACCCTCCTGCGCTGCGCCCCGCGCCCCTGGACTCGGGCGGGCAGGCAGGCACGCCGTGCGCGGCCGGGGCAGAACGTGAGCTCACGGGTCGTGTGTGTGAACACCGGTGCCCGTCCCGTCCACACCTCGCCCGCCTGGCCTACCTAGAAACCCAAGAACCTGTGAGCAGGCTGTCGTTTTGCTCAAGTAAGTAACAGAAAAAACCAATTTGTTCCTATTTTTTAAAAGTTTACCACGTACATTTTGGGGGAAAGGCCTCACAGTGGATGAGGACATCTGAGGCCCCTTCGATTGCGTCTGCCACCTTCTCATGCTGCAAGTGTGTTCTCTACGGGGTGGGGGGTGACTGTATGGTGTGTTCTGTCCCCATCGGAGGACACATTTTCATGGCTTTTTGAAGGGGCAAGAGCGGGCAAAGGGAGAAACATCGGCGTGACAGAACAGCGGCGGCTGGCGGCCTCCCGTACGCACCCGGCCCGCGGATCGAGCCCACAGCCCTTCGGCTACAGGCGTGCGCTCCAGCCAACCGCACGGCACCGGCCGGGGGGCGGGGGGGCGGCGAAGTGAGCCCCCACGGGGCGCGCGCCGCCCGTGCCAGCGGAGACCCCTTCCCGAATCCACGGTGCTGCGGCAGGAAGGGCCACCCTCCTGGTGCAAGACGGTGACCACGCTGATGTCGGAAGAGCTAAACCCTCAACTTAGCCCAGGGCCCCCCCGCCCCCCCCGCCCTCAGCCAGAAACACAGTGGGGCCACCCTGTCAGTTCCAGGCAATGCAAGCAACTAAGGCGCTGCTTCCAGGGAGGGCACCTGAGCAGAGGCTGGTCTTTTTTTCAGTTTCTTTATTTTTAGAGAGGCGGAAAGGGAGGGAGAGAGGGAGAGAGGGAGAGAAGGAGAGAAACATCCATGTGCAGGTGCCTCACGCGCGCCCCCTCCTGGGGGCCCTGGCCCGCAACCCAGGCCTGTGTCCTGACTGGGCATCGAACTGGCGACCTTTTGGTTCGCAGGCCGGCGCTCCATCCACTGAGCCGCACCAGCCGGGGCCAGAAGCTGGTCTTGTGCACCCCAGAGGGTCCCTGACGCGGGGTCCTCGTGTCCTGGGGCCTCTTCCAGGAGGGCGCTGCCCCCAGCAGGAGGCCCCGCGCGCTCTGCTGCGGCAGGAGGTCCTGGCGTCCGAGCCGCACCTACGCCGCCTTCTGCCTCTGCTCCTCCTGCACGAGGAGGGAAGGGGCTCCGCTCCGGTCTCCCCTCCCTCGCCAGCAGCGCGGCCCGGCCCGGCCCCGCCCCCAACCCCCGGGCCGCGGGCCCCCACCGCAAGGCCCCCCCCGCGAGGAAGTTCAAGGGCAAGCCCTCCCCTTCTGTCCCTCTGTCCCCCTACGGCCCCACCGCGAGCAGCGTCCGGCGTCCGCGCACCTTGACGGCCTCCTCCAGCTGCGACAGGGCCTCCTCGTACCGCGGCACCAGGAGCTGCAGCAGCTCGCTGGGGGGGTCGTGCCGCTGCAGCGCGGGCGCCCCGCCCTCTGTCAGCATCCGGAGGAACTTCCTCTCCTGGGGGGGCACGCTGAGTGGGAAGGGGTTCCCGCCCCCACCCCGCCCCGCCCCCTGCTGGGCCCGCCGGCCTGACCTGCACTTTGAGAAGCAGCGTGAAGGCCTGTCCGGTGTTCCCAGCGCGGGCCGTTCTCCCGACCCTGAAACCACACGCAGACCCCTCCAGAGCGGCCCCCGCAGCCCCCGCGGGCCCCGCCGGGCAGCCGCTTCCTCCCCCACCGCCCACCCACCACAGCACGGCCCCGCACGGCCAGCCTCACCGGTGCACGTAGGTCCGCAGGTACTGGGGGGCGTCGTAGTTGACCACCAGCTGCACGCCAGGCACGTCGATGCCGCGGGCGGTGGCGTCCGTGCTGATGAGGCTGTGGATACACAGGAGGCTGTGGGACCAGCCTGAGGCCAGAGGCTACGACCCCCCCGCCCCCGCCCCCGGGGGCCCTCCCACGGAGCGAGGAGGCTCACGACAGTGCCCTGCGGGGCCAGGCACTCACAGCTGAATCTTCCCCTGTTCAAACTGCTTCAAGATGGTCTTCCTCCAGCCGGGGCCACAGCGGGAGGAGAACTCGGCCACCGTCACCCCCCCGAAAGCTTGGACTAGCAGGAAGAGCCTGCGAGGGAGGAGCCGGGTGGGCCGGGGCCGACAGCAGCCCGCCCCCCGCCCCGGCCCCGCCGCCCGCTGCCGGGGCCCACCTGTGCGCGGTCTCCCGGGAGTTGGTGAAGCACAGGACCCTGGAGAAGCCGCGCTGCAGGACCAGGTGCAGGACGGCCAGCGGCTTGGAGCGCAGGCGGCAGGGCACGTAGTGATGCTGCGGGACGGCGCGGGGTCGGGACTGCGCCAGAAGCCTGGGGCGCCCGCCTCGCCCCGCCCCGCCCCCACCCCACCCCGCCCCCACCCCGCCCCCAGCTCACCGAGAGCCCCGAGGGGAAGGTGTACTTCCCGCCCGAGTCCGCGTCGGCGTCCACGGCGGCACCGCCGCCGGGCCCCCCGCGGGCGGGCCGTGTGGAGAAGAGCCGCGGCTGGTGCAGGCCGAGCTGCTGCAGCTTCTCGGGGTTCTGGGTCAGGGTGGCTGAGAACAGCAGCTTCTGCAGGGGCATCTGGGGGCAGCAGGTGCTACGGGGCGGGGTGGGGGGGCAGGCCCTGAGCGAGCCGCTGCGGCCCTGCCAGCCGCCCCCGGCCCAGACCGACCCGACCAGGCACCCCACCCAGGGCGGCGTGGAGCGCGGGCCGGGTACCTGGCAGCCGTCAGGGCGTGGGGCCGCCGCCTCTGGAGCAGAGAACAGGGGTCCCTGGTGTCCTCCCTCGGGAAGGCAGCGGCCACCACCCGCGGGAGCCAGGACTGGTGCATGCTGTCTATCATGCGGTCGGCCTCGTCGACGACCTGCGGGGGCAGGAAGCGCAGGGTCGGGAGCCGAGCTCGGCGCCGGCTCCAAGCCCGGGCCTCCCCTGGGTGCGCGGCCAACCTACCAGGAAGCGGAGGTGCTGGAGGCTGAACCCCGGGGTCTGGTCGATGTGGTCCACCAGGCGGCCGGGGGTGGCCACCACGATGTCGGCCAGGCAGCGGAAGCCATCAGCCCTGCGGAACAGAGGGGAGCCCGGCGGGAGCCTGCGTGGCCGCGCGCCCCCCCTCCCCGCCCCTGCGGACCCCGCAGCCCAGCAGGACCTACGTCTCCTGCACGAGGCTCTCCTGCTCCCTGGCCAGCGACTTCTGCCCAGTGACCAGGGCGACGCGCAGGGGAGTCGCATCTGTGTAGATGTTGAACACTTTGCTCACCTGAGGGGGACAGGTGTCACTGGCCTGACCCCCGACACCATGCCAGTGACAAGGGCTCAGGTGACACCCAGGCACGGGGTCCGCCTACCTGCTGGGCCAGCTCCTTGGTGGGCAACACAACCAGAGCGCGGACCCGGCACACAGCTCGCCGCAGCAAGGCCTGGGGGCAAGCAGGGCCACGGGTCAGTCGGCGGGTCCTGCACACGGGCCGCCGGCCAGGCCCGCGGGGGCCTCACTCACCTGCACCACCGGGATGACGAAGGCCAGCGTCTTCCCACTGCCCGTTGGGGCGGAAACACACAGGTCCCGGGGCTGGTAGCCCCCTCTGCCCACCAGGAACCCGCCGGCCGTGCTCTCCAGGAGGGCGGGGATGACCGCTGCCTGGACTGGACGGGGCGAGAGGTCAGGCAGGCCTGCGCAGGCACGCCCCATCGGCACGGGCCGGGCTGCCCCCCGCGCGGCTCGGCAGGACGCCCCGCCGCCTGCCCAAGGCTGGGGCACCTGGAAAGAAGGATGAGATGCCGTGTGCCCGCAGCTTCTTCTGCAGGTCAGGGTGGACTTCAGGGATGTCCTCGATAGGCACCGTGTCTTCGGTGACGTTCTTCCTGACACAGCTCGGCTCAGCCAGCCACTTTGGCAGGAAAGGCTGGACCTGTCGCCAAGGATCAGAGACAGAGGCCAGGTGACTGCTCCACAGCCTGCCGGCCCCGGGGAGCAAGGCCGCAGAAACCAGGCTGAGAGCGAGCCTTCGCCTGGTGTCCCAGCGGCTTCCCCCGGCTCCCCGCACCCTGCGCCCCACCCAGCCGCTCCCCTGGGCAGATCCGCGGGGGCTGCCCCTCACGCCTGCAGCACCACCGCTCCGAGCAGACCCTGTGAAGCCCCGAGGACAGCGACGACCACGAGGTCGTCCTGTTAACCAGCGGTCTCCTCGCTCCTAGGAAACGTGTTTACCCGACCCAGGGTCTGCCCCGCAAGGTGAACTAGAACCCCAACCCGAGCTCGGCAGCCAGCCAGCCCCCACGCCAAGGTCGCCCGGCCTCTGGTGGGGCCCCGGGCTCTGGGCGTCGCGGGGGCAGCAGGGCCTCTCGCCCTCCTCAGGGCCGGCCACAGGGAACAGCAAGGCAGCGCAACACCGGGACGCCCTGGAGCTGCCACCGTGGAGCCCCAGGAGTGAGGCCGCCGGAGGCGGCCCAGACCCGAGTGCGTCGTAAGACCCAAGGAGGTCCTCTGCGCCGCTCCTGGGGCGCTAGCGCTGCCGCCGGAGAGAAGACACGGTGACGGCTGGACACCCGGCCGACAACGCGTCTCCCCCACCGGGCTCTGCCGCCCGTCCTCAACAGGTGGGCGAGGCAGGGCATGGCGTTCTGAGGAGGTGGCTTCCCGGAAACCTCTCCTCCCGATCACAGACGTACGGCCGACGTCCTGCCCGCCCACAACGTAACTCTGGAAAACCCCGGGACACGTGGACATTTCCCACTCCCTGCCGGTCCGTCTGAGGCACAGCAGCCGCACCCCGTCCCAGGGCCGCCACCCCCAGGACGCCAGCGCGCCCGCTGCGGCTCGAGCGCGCTCCGGCGGCGTGAGGCGTTCCCTCGCAGGAGCAACGCTCCCCGCGTCCGTCCGTGCCAGGAACGGGCCTACGTCCTCGGGGCTGACCGGAGTGGGCGCCCATCGATCTGTGACCCAAAGCAGGAAAAGAGGAAGGACAGGGTGGCGAAGCTGCTGTGCAGCCTGACCAGCAACCAAGGGGACACAGGGCGTCCTGCGGAGCCGGCCAGGTTCGCCTTCCAGCAGCCCCAGCTATGAAGGTCCGGGACCGCAGCGGGCAGTGCCTGCTCTCGGGCCACCCGGCCCAAGCAGAGAAGCGGCCGTGACCTCAGCACCCCCCACAGCGCCCGCCTGGGGCTGCCCGCGCCCGCCCTTCCCCCCACTGAAGGCTGCTTCGAATGCTGCTCCCCGACCTCTGCACAAATGCGAACGAGTTACAAAAAACTCACATCCATCAAAGTTTGAGTCTTCTTTTCATTAGCAAAAAAAAACAAAACAAAACCCCAAAACCTTCAGAATAGAAAGCAAAGATTCTTTCAGCACAGGATTCAAGCCGTTAAAAAAAGAAAACCCCGCACGATGCAAGTTGAAGTGCAGCTCGGCCACCTGCGAAGGCGTTCGCTCACCGCAGGCAGGCGCGCATCCTCCTCACGGCTCCTCCACGGGCCTTCTTCACTAACAGCAGCCCCCAGCCCCCAGCCCCCAGCCCCCAGCCCCCAGCCCCCGCCGCCCGGCCCCGGCCGCCCGCCCCCGGCCGCTCACCTTTGGCGCCTTGCTCCTCCCGAAGCCGCCGAGCAGCAGGGCGTGCGCCCCAGAGGCCTCGTCGGCGGGCCGTGCTCCTGGGGCCTCGGGTGGCCCCGCGGCCTCGGCGTCCACGCCGCTCTCCTCCGGCGCCTCCTCGCTGCTCACTGCGGGGCAGAGCCGGAGCCGGAGCAGGGGCGGCGCGTCAGCCCCACGTGCGCCCGGGTCCCAGGCCGCGCCCCGCCCCGCGCCGCCTGCCGAGCTCACCTGCGTCCGCCTCCTCGCCGTCCGCTTTCCGCCGCTTGCTCCGCGGCGTGTGCGGGCTCCCAGGCGTCCCGCCGCCCCTGCGCCTCCGCGGGCGCCGCCGCCGCTTCCCCGCCGCGCCCTCGGTCTGCGCGGCCTCCTCGGGCTCCTGCTGCCGCGGTTGCTGCTGCTGCTGCTGCCGCTCGCGGGCCCGACGTTGCAGCCGCTCCAGCAGCGCCCGCGCCCGGCCGTCCTCCTCGGCCTCCGCCCCGGCCGCCTCGGCCGCCTCGGGCCCCGGGTACCGCGCGATGTGGAAGAGCGCCATGCCTGCCGCCCCAGCCCGCGCCCGGCGCGCGGCGATGATGGAGACGCGGGGCCGTGACGTCAGGGCCGCGCCGGAAGCAGCCGCGGAGCCCGGCTGTGCGGCGCGTGGGGCGGTGGCATGGAGCAGAACCGCGGCCCCCGGGACGCGCGGCGCGCGCTGGGCCGCCTGCTGGAAGCGGTGCTGGCGAACCGCGGCGAGGCCAACGCCGTGTTCGACATCCTGGCCGTGCTGCAGGTGAGGCGCGCGGGCCGCGCGGCGCGGAGCACGGGGTGGGCGGCCAGACCCCGGGCCAGAACGCGGGCCCGGGCGCGGGCTCGGTGGGCCCGGGCTGGGACGTGGGGAGGCAGTTGCAAGGCGGAGTCCAGGATTTTTACTGCGGTTCTTTGCTCGTCTCGCAGGCCCCCGGACGGGACGGTCCGGTGGGAGGTTTGGCAGAGGCGGGATGGAGAGTCCTGCCGGGGCCGAGGTTGGGATTCGATGGGGCTGGAGTCCTGGAGGGGTAGGTGAGGTGTGGCGGGGACACAGTTCCCGGCGGGGCACACTGCGACGGGCGTCTCCCCGCAGTCAGAGGACCAGGAGGCGATCCAGGATGCGGTGCGCGCGTGTAGCCGCCTTTTCGGAGCCTTGCTGGAGCGGGGTGAGCTGTTCGTGGGCCAGTTGCCCCCGGAGGAGGCCGTCATGGCAGGTGAGGGTCTTTGGGGGCCCAGGGCCGCGTCTCGGGCAAAGTCGGAGAAAGACCGTGTCAGCACAGGATGAGCTCCCCAAAACCTCAGCACAGGGCACACAAGTTGGCAGGAGGGCACAGCCAAGCCCACCGTGGGGGCGGCGATGGTGGGGGGTGGGGGAGGGGCGAGAGAGCCTCAGGGATGGTTGAAGAAGCGTGATTTTTGTGCGTGTTTAGAACTTGTTGAACGTTGATTGTCAGTACCACGCAAAGCTGGGGGTTATGTGCCCTGATTCTTGCGGTGTTCAGGTCGTGGGGGCCCTGCCCTTGGGGGTAGGTGCTGCTCTCCCTGATTGGGGGAACGTGCTGGCCCCGCGCCAGGTCTGGGGCCACGGCCTCCCCTCCTTCCCCCGGCTGAGCAGGGCAGCGGGCACCGCGGTGGGCTGACCACGCTGCCCCACCGCAGGGTCCCAGGGGGCCACGCGCAAGTACAAGGTGTGGATGAGACACCGGTACCAGAGCTGCTGCAACCGCCTGGTGGAGCTCCTGTCCCACCCCTCGTTCCCGGTCAAGGTGAGTCTGGGGTCCCTGGCCCTGTCTCCCCTGTCCGTTCCCGCACCCCGAGCTTCACACACAGGGCGCCGGGCCTGCCCTGCAGGCACCTGTCCTCCGGCGCCTACGGTCGGCGCAAGGACGTTTCCTTCCCTCCGTCGGCCGGCGTCCTGGTGGGTGGCTACGTCCTGTCCGCCGGCTCCCCTCGTGGGCACTCAGGCTGGGGGCGCTTTGTGGGCCAGCCGGCCGGGGAGGGTGACGTGTCGTTAGGCTGCACCGCCCCCCTGCTGCCCTGTCTAGGAGCTGGCCCTCGGCACGCTCATGAAGTTTGTGCAGCTGGAAGGCACGCACCCCCTGGAGAAACCCAAGTGGGAGGGCAACTACCTGTTCCCCCGGCAGCTCTTCAAGGTGAGGGCGTGGCGGGGCCCCCACAGGGGTGGGCGGCTGTCGGGCACGGCACTTGGCTGCGTCCCGCCTGCGGGAGGGGCAGGCTGCGGCGGGGCCCTCCTGGGGCTGCCGGGCGAGCTGGGCAGAGAGGCGCTGACCGGCCGCCCCCGCCCAGGCGGTGGTGGACGGCCTGCTCGCGCTGGAGGAGGACCGCGCGCTGCTGCTCTCCCAGTTCCGGGAGTACCTGGACCACGACGACATCCGCTACCACGCGATGCAGGCCGCTGCGGAGTGCGTGGCCCGGGTGGCCAGCGGGCACCCCGAGGTGAGCCGGCCGGGTCCCGTCTGGGGGGGCTGAGGGTGCAGGGGCGGGTTGGAGCCCAGGCGCTCAGGCCAGGTCCCTTGCAGGTGCCCCTCGCGTTCTGGAACAACGCCTTCACGCTGGTGTCCGCAGTGAGCCTGCCGTCCACGGAGGCCGATCTCTCTAACTTCTACGTGAAGCACATGGGTGGGCCTCCTGGGCGGGCCTCCTGGGCAGGCGGTGGTGCCAGGGCCCCGCCCCCGCACCGCCTCACGAGCCGCCCTGTCCCCCCCCGGCTTCCTTGCAGAGCTCTCGGACAAGTGGAAGGTCACCCACCTCAAGGTGAGACAGGCTGGAGGAGCGGCCCCGTGCTGGGGGTTCACCTCCCTCACACACAGGCCGAGTGCAGAGGGACGGGGCGGGGGGGGGGTCGGAGGCCCTCCCAGGCGTCCCCTGTCCTCCTCGAGGGTGGTGGCGGGCGCAGCGCCTGCTGCAGGGCGGTTCCTGCCGCAGTGGATGCTCTTGAGGCCGGGCCCTGGGCGCTCCGGGGACACTCGGGGCAGGGAGGGCACAGGGAGGGGTTGGGAAGGCCGGGCGGCGGCAGCCTGTGCAGCCTGGTCCCCCGCGGCCCACAGGAGCACCGGAGGGCCTTCCAGGCGATGTGGCTCGGCTTCCTCAAGCACAAGGTAGGGCCCGGGGAGGGCGCGGCTCCCGGGTCTGGGTCCCCGGGCGGAGGGGCCGGTGCGGTGGGCAGGCTGCGCCTGACCTGCTCCCCACCCCCACCTCCCCGCCGCAGCTGCCCCTCAGCCTCTACAAGAAGGTGCTGATAATCATGCACGAGGCCATCCTGCCGCATCTGGCCCAGCCCAGCCTCATGATCGACTTCCTCACCCGTGCCTATGACGTTGGTGAGCGGCGCCCCCGGCCATGCGTGACCACAGGGCCCGACTGGGCAGGGACGTGTGCTCAGAAGGCCCCTCTCCCGCTTGTGGCTGGGTGGGAGCGGGCGGCTCCCCGGCCTCCAGCTCCTCTGGACTTGCGGGGGGTTGGGTGCCGCTGGGGCGGGTCGCATGGCTGCGTGTCTGCCTGCAGGGGGCGCCATCAGTCTCCTGGCCTTGAATGGACTTTTTATCCTGATTCACAAGCACAACCTGTGAGTGTTAACTTGGGGGGCGTGCAGACCTCTCCCACGCGCTGTCCAGGGGACAGAGGCTTCGGGAGCCCACTAGGACGGGGTGTGGGGGGGCAGGGCCAAGCCCCCAGGGCCCGACCGGCCTGCTTGCTCTGTGCTTTTACCCCCGCGAGCGTGTCCCCTCCTCACCCTCTGCACCCCACTGCCTTTTCCCTCACTCTCCCCGCCACCTGCAGGGAGTACCCCGACTTTTACCGGAAGCTGTACGGCCTCATGGACCCGTCCATCTTCCACGTCAAGTACCGGGCGCGCTTCTTCCACCTCGCTGACCTCTTCCTGTCGTCCTCGTGAGTGCGGGGGCAGGGCGGGGGGGTGAGGGGCGGGGTCCCGCCTCCCTCCTAGCCGCGGGGCCGCCCGTCCCGTCCTGGGCCCTGGACAGGCCAGGAAGAGTCTGCTGGGCGCGCAGTGGGGTCTCATGCCCGCCTCCCGCCCAGCCACCTGCCCGCCTACCTGGTGGCGGCCTTCGCCAAGCGCCTGGCCCGCCTGGCCCTGACGGCGCCGCCCGAGGCCCTGCTGCTGGTGCTTCCCTTCATCTGCAACCTGCTGCGCAGGCACCCGGCCTGCCGCGTCCTCGTGCATCGGCCGCGCAGCCCTGGTGAGCGCGCCCGCCCCCGGCCGCCCGGCCGCCCGGCCCCCAGGCCGGTGCAGAGGCAGGCGGTAGAGCAGACCTGCGTCCTGTCCCTAGAGCTGGACGCTGATCCCTACGACCCTGACGAGGAGGACCCAGCCAAGAGCCGGGCCCTGGAGAGCTGCCTGTGGGAGCTGCAGGTGAGGCCCCCCAGCCCCCGCCGCTCCCTGGCTCCGTGGCTGCGGGGGGCAGGGCTCTGTCTGGAGGCGAGGCGGGCCTGGAGCGCTGACGCCCGCATGCCCCTCCAGGCCCTGCAGCGGCATTACCACCCCGACGTGTCCAAGGCTGCCAGCGTCATCAACCAGGCACTCTCGGTGCCCGAAGTCAGCATCGCGCCTCTCCTGGAGCTCACAGCCTTCGAGGTGGGGCTCGGGCCGGGCTGTGGGGGCGGGGCGGGGGCCCAGGGAGCCCCCAGCCTGAGAGCGGCCGCCTGTCTGTCTTCGCAGATGTTCGAGCAGGACCTGAAGAAGGAGGGCCCCGAGGCGGTGCCGCTGGAGTTCCTCCCGGCACCGGGCCTGCTGGGCCGGCAGCAGGACCTCTGCGCCCAGCACTTCACACTCGGCTGACCCTGGGCACCCCGCTCCCCAATAAACAGTTTTGCAGGAGAGCGGCTCGGTGGGCTGTGGGCGGGCGGCAGGGCCCGGCTCCCTCCCCGGGGGCTGTGCCCTCCTGGCTCCAGCTGCCGCACCCGGCCTCCCTCGGAGGAGCCCCCTGGGGCCCCTCCCCCGCAGCCTGGCGGGACGGGCCACCGAGCAGCTTGGCAGGGGGCCGGGCGGGACACAGGCCTCGGGTGCTAGTGGACAGGTGGCATGGGGAGGCGGGTGACCAAGTGGGTCCTGTGACACAGCCGTGTCCCCGGAGCTGACGGTGCGGCCCTGACGCGGGAGCTGGTCCCCGGGTGGCCGGGCCAGCCCTCCGTCCCTCCAGTGCGACAAACGGTGCCAGCCCGGGCGCCCCACGCCCCGCCGCTCGGTTCAGCAGCTGGCTGCCGTGGACTGGCCCATGTCAAACACCCTTTCTGTCCTCCCCGCTTGACCCCGACACGTACCTGTCCCCTCAACACCAGCCCAGGGGGCGGCAGCCGGACCAGCAGGCCCTGCTCCCGCCATCCGGCCGGGAGCCTGAAGTGGGGCCTGCCCGTCGCGGCGGCGGCACCCGTGTGGCGGGTGCTCTGAGCTGTGCCCCCGCCCCCCATGGATCCCGTTCTCCATCGGTGACTCCCCAGGGGGCCGGGGCGGGGACCCCTTCCTGTGCCCTCGTGCATCTCCCCCTGACTGTTGACTGGCCCCCTGCCCTGCGT